AGAGGTACATAAACCTTGTGAAGATTCTTTACTCGAACACGACCAGTCGAGTCAGAACTTATGGCGAACTGTCATGTGCCTTTGCAACCTCAAGTGTTGTCTGGCAAGACTGTTCACTATCTCAATTTTTGTTCAACTTCATCATAGATATACCGCTGGAAATAGCGCTTTCGTCTTCTAAACTTTGAGGAATTGATTTCGTTCCAGGAGGTCCACTTATAGACTTAGAATACGCAGATGACAGTTCTGTTTGTTTGAAAACGCTGATAAAATGCAGAGACTTTTGGTAGCAATGAGCAACAACGTCAGGATGTTTGGGATGTGTTTCTCTACCACTACATGCAAGTTGTTGGTTCAGGATTGGCCTGCCTCAACACCTGAACTAAGGATAGGGAATGAAGTAATCGAAGAGTGAACAACGCCATTTATCTTGGAAGTATGATCAGCTCTAATCAGTTGGTTTCTAACGCAATCAATGCACGGATTCGAGAAGCTCGTTTGGCTCTTGCCAACTCACGTCACCACCTATGACAAAGGCGTGATATCCGTCTACCAATTAAAGGACGGGTAGACTGCATGGCAGATCGTTCTGTTCTACTTTACGGCTGCGAAACGTGGCCATCAAGAGTAGAGGATAATTGTAAGTTACTAGTATTTAATCACAGATGTCTTAGAAATATTGCTCGTATCTGTTGGGATCACCAGGTAAGTAATGGTGACGTTAGACTCAGGCTATTAGGAAATAACGGTATGTCAGTTGATGAGGTTGTGAACCTTCATCGACTGAGGTAGTTGGGCCACGTATTGCGCGTGCACAACCACCGACTAACACGGCGCGCAATGCTGACAAGTATTGGAGACGGATGGAAGAAAGTTAGTGGCGACCGAACCAAAACGTCGCGTCAGTTCATAAAGCCACTAACTTCTGGTCTGAGTCATGTTAGTAGATGCAAACTACTTGGTTGGGGTCCGCGCGACTATCGTAACCAATGGTTGGAGACTCTGAGTGACATGGCTCAGAATAGATCACAATGGCATAGGTGTATACACTCTTTGTCTTCCCTTCAACAGTGAGATTAAAATTACTTTATACCTTTCTTTCTACGACCTAATTATTTCCCCCTGTATCATATCTTTATATGTAACCTTTATCTACATATACCACTGCCATTGAAGTAACTGCGTCTGTGAATTTGGTGTTCATCTTGTCGTGCTAGTGAGGTGTGGCAATTTGGACCGATGCACATATGTGTGGTCCTACGTTGTAAATGACTGTCATGAATAATAAATGATCTTATGTAACTAGGCCGAAATTCATTCTAATTTAAATCTTTCTAGTGAGGTTTTCATAGTATAGGGACGTAAAGGTCGCCTGATTATTTAAGCCAATGATGTTTGTTGTGATCACATTGGTACAGTACGAACTAATACGAAATATATAGATGACTAATGCTGCTTTAGACATTGTTTTTTAATGAAAAGCACATACTTGTGATTAAGAGTTCGCGAATGCATATAGTAATCAACTGGAGTTTCTCCTTTCATCCAAATGATTAGTAACAAGATATCATTTGTCAGCGAGACAATCTCTGATATAGATAGGGTGTTAAACAACAGTTTTTAAGGAAGCTCAAAACTTGGAGTAAGTTACTTCAAAAAATGTCTAAATTGTTTAACTGAAATTGTTGTTTATCTCTTTACGCATTCTGCATTATAAACCTTTAAAAATTGTTGAAATTTCGATGTACCCACATAGTTTTAGCCACAGTGGTCTAGTAATGTCAACCACCTTCAACGCCATCATAATCTTGGTTAACGTAACGAAACACTACTAAGTGACGGATAGAATGATGTTTGCATCTTTTGGGACATAATTCCTCTCCTGCTAGTATCGTAAATGTAGTGGATTTTAGGAAATTGTGACATGATTGTGTATAGATAGAATTGGACATTAATATGCATACTTCATAAATCATAGAACGCAGTTTCAATGAAATAAGCTGTACATTTTATTTTCACATGAACTACATTTCACTGCAATTTTTGTTATTGCTGTATTGTTTTCCACTTTTTCACAAACATTTTATCTCGTTTACATGTGAAACTACCTATTCATCCCCTTTTTAAAAAGCATCTTTGTACTATAAATAAAACAATAAATAATATTCATAATTTTCTAACTTCTCGTTGCTTTCGGTTGCATGCTTGATGGGCTTGTAAAAAAAGTTTGAATTATTCCGGTTAGTTTCGTAGATAGACACACATTAAATCTAGTTAATTGAATATTTTTAATCAATATGATTACGATAAGATTAACATTTGATTGTGGTGTTTAATAGGGATAGAACGTTTAGAACACTAAATTTTAATGAAGTAATTTAGACTATGTAAGTAAGGTAATATTTAGTTAGAATGCTATTTTCGGTGGCTACTGCGATCAATGCATTCTCTTTTCCTCAAACGGTAGTCAAACTTACCGCAGATGCTTAATTTAATAAATTAATTAATATCTCCAGACAAACCGTCTATGCATCTTGGTATTGTATATTGAAATAGTTGGATTACTATAGTAGTATCTATTTGCAATCGCCATTACAATTGCATTGTTTGGCTAAAATTGGAACTTGAGATTTTAATTACGTTCTATTATTTGTAAATAGTCCTCTAAACTGAATGTTTGGTTTCGGATGTGGTGTTTTGTTTCATCGTGACACAAATCAAATCAAATAGGATCTCAATTTTTAATTATACAATAGTGATTGAAAGTCCACTGTAATAGAACACTTCTTTTTTATGATGGGAGTTGTCCTCTACTCGTTATTTGCAAAACAAAATGTTTTAAAAATACGTTAGTTTGATCGATGACTATTCACCATGAAATCAAAGTGGTTGATGTGTATACATTTAATACAGTGGTTTGCAAAATAACGGAATAATGATAATACAATATAATTAGTATAATGAAAAAAAAACGACGATGGAGTTTTTTGTTTCTAGGTGTACTATTTTTGTGTTTTCTTGATTTTTAACAAAAGCATATATTTTATTCCTTCTATCTAGTACCTATCTACACTAACCTTCCCAGTTAGCTTTATTTTTTCCTTCTAATCAGCTTTCTGCATCTATCCTGCTAAGTTCTTTAGTTTGAAGGAATAGACTATTCTATGATATTTCAAATCATTATGTTTGTCTGGGTTTGCGACAAAATAATTAAGAGACTAGTGATAATAATTCATTCTTGTCGCTACATTGTTATCACTATACTATATACTGACAATATTCGTCCATAGTTAATAAATAATTTCCTAAAGTAACTTGCAGTTGTATCCAACAGGATTAAGACTGTTTCCGAAACAAGTGAGTAGAAAAATCTCGGAAAAAGATGTTTGATTGATTTCTTGTATACGTTCTGTAGACCTCATATCTGAATACAACATTCTGCCAATAACAAAGTCATACATACTATGAATTTTGGGATGTGATCATTTATTGTTTGAAACACTATGCTTTTAATCATTGGTTCAAAGGTTCGAGCCGTGCTCTATTTGGATTTTCTAGGTGACGAGTGGCTCGAAGCTGATATCAGGTGTGAAGTTGGTTAAGTTGTATAATTTGATTACTTTTGATAGAATTCGAATTTATTAAATAATGATTTGCTTAATTCTGCTGGTGAACTTTGGTCACATCGTTTAATTACTTATTATTTGATTTTAGAAACATAAACTGCTTTATATAATATATTGATGTATTTTGACCCTTTGTACACTTAAATCAGTTCAATATCACATGATTGCTAATCTTGTAATTTAGTGTTAATGAAATCGTTTCTGCACATGATGACTAAACGATTGAAAAATCTTTGGTTTTTGAATGTCATTTCAGTTAGTTTTTCATCGTGACTCTGTGCTAATGAAATAATACTCATCGAGTAGATACGTTGCGTAATGATTACATAATTATATATCGATTATATGAAAGTGGATTATAATAACCAAAGTAATTATTCGAAAATCAAGCAGTTTCGACGTTGCAGGAACTAACAAAATATTTTGATGAATAGTCAGTAGTATGATAGTTATGTAAGAATCAAGAGACGAATGTTGAGAATAAGTATAATACAAAAAGTGGAAGAAATGCAAAAATAGTTTTGCTACAAACTCCTATACCGATGGCCAAGGTAGCGATAGTGGTTGTACAAACTTCTTTTGGATGCAAAGGTTTGGTTTGTGAACATGGATTCCAATGACTTCAGCAATTTGCAAGCGACAAACTCGTAAACCATGCGGAAAATTTGATGGAATATGGTGGATAACACTAAAAGCTTCATTCTTGCTCACTTGGTGGACACAGGTCATCAAGTTGAATTGTTAGTTCCTTCTTTTTATATAATATGCAACGTAGCAACCGCTTGGTTTTCGAATAATTACTTTGGTAATTATAATTCACTTCCAATTGCTCAATGTTAGTTTGTAATCAACATGTAATTATATAATTATTACGTAATGTATTGTTTCATTCGCTCGATTCGTTCCTTATTTATTTACCAAATCTTTGGTCGTTTCTCATAATTATTAAGAAGTAATGATTATGTCCGACTCATTTATTGTTATATATTTCAATAAATCGGACAACAAGTTTCTAATAAACCATTCACTAGCCTTGTTGAGATGTTTCCAACTGGGGCGCTGTTTTACACAGAAACATTCACTGAAGGTGAAAGGAAATCTGGTTAGCAGTAAGATTTAAATCAGTGTCCTTTTTACTCGGTCAAGGACATCCAGCTAACTGAAGAGGTCCACATATATTATTTTTGGAATTAAAGTGTAAGCGTATATGAGAAACAGTGGCAATATTTTCAGTCAGAACTCGTTTAGAAATATATTTCATATGTGGATGTGCTCCAAAGTAGTTTATGATTTTGTTCTTTTGCGTGATCACCATACATGCTTTTTTTTTACAATAATAAGGTTTTTTCAATTTACTTAGACCAATAATGTTAGCTGGGATAAAATATAGAAAAAGTAAGAAAACGTGACAAAATAATTGTGTTCCTGATAGATGCTTACTTCTGGATATTTTTTTAGAAATCGTAACAATCTGATGTTTTTCTTCTATTACAATCAAACTTACTCATTGTGCGACGAATACAAGTAACATAATACCATACTTTTTGAGGCAAACGTGATTGATTTACCTTTGGAAAGAAACGTAGATAAAGCTGCACTAAATAAAATAGTATGTTGGTAAATGTTTTTAGCCTTTAGTCTGACCTTTTCCCAATTAGACTCTTAAAATTTTTGTGGTCATAAAAAAGTATCAGAAGGGTTTTTGTGGATATTATAGTAATTTGATGGTTGAGATCATGAGTCAATTGAAACCAGACCACCATGGAAAACCTGGAAGTACTGGGTGGCCGTTTTGTCCTATTGTGGGACTGCTCAGCAGTGCGCACCTAAGATTCCTCCTCATGAGATTCCAACCTAGTACCTATCAGTCTCGCGCGTGAGCGCTTAACCACAATAGGACGAAACGGCCGTCCAGTGCTTCCAGGTTTTCCATGGTGGTCTAGCTTCATTTAACTCATGATCCCAACCATTGAAATAAAAAAAGTATGTTAGATGACTAAATTAGTCTCTTTTCTTGGAGTGGACAGAGGATTTTGTTGGAAGAACAAATAAGACATGAATAAAAATTGTAGATTTGTGATATCACAATGATTTGAAAAATTATTTTTATTGATAACAATCTGCCTAATGCTCAATTTATTTGAAATTATCAAGTCAAACCTTAGTAATGACACCTACAAATAAGACATTATTTCGATGATAGATAACGTTGATTGCAACTATGCGATATATATTGGCAAATCTTTCGAATAGGCTGGTCACATCAATATTTTAATAATATTTATATTAGAAATAAAATAATTCAAGTTAAAACAGTGCTAAGAAAAGAACAGCTAGAAAAAAAGTTTTTTCTCATTCTTATTAGAAGTTTCAATAAATATTTCTTGTGATTACAAGCTTTTTGAATATACTATAAGCTTTTAATTTTTGCCCGGCCAATACTTGATTAGATCGAGGTGTTCACATCTGATTACATTTCTTCACTACTACAAAAGTTGCTTTTAGGTTAGTCCGATGACCTGTTCCTAATATCTGTTCAGCAATATCTTTCGTATAATCAGGACATGCTTCTTTGTCTACGGAAATAATCTGGAAATTCTACGAAGATTAGTTATTTTTTTTAACTTACATGTCTTCAACAAACCAATATCCACTAGGAATCAATAAATATCCTCTCTTCTGATAGGGACTAGGTAGTCTTCTTTGTAAGTCTCCAAACGTAATATCTAACACTTCTCAACATTCTTTTTTTTTTGAAAATGGCAAGCTAGTGTTTATTGATTTCCTAAGGTAAATTAGTAATTTTCCAGAGCTTGTCATACATTTAATGATGTCAAAGGTATAATATAAGTTCTTCTGAATAGATGCTGCAGAGAACTGTTGGTTTATGAAAGTCTAAAATAAAAGATTAACTAATAGATAATGGCTTACTGTTTCATTCCATTATCATAAATGGGGCCATGGAGAGTGAACTAGTGAAAATACTCATAAAATGTTCGATGTATTTTCAGTAACTCAAATGTTCTCATTTAGACATTAAAAGTACAGTTCATACAGAGAAATATTATTTTTCAATTCGCTTCCCATAATAGCTCAACATTAATATGTAATTTTACATTTGAATATAAAATACAAATTAAATGGTGGTGGATAAATTAATACATAATAATAATAATAAAGATGGAATGCAAATCGGTGGATTATTAAAACATTACACAAAAGAAAGGTACAACATACACTTAAGTGTAATTTTAGGTTTAAGAATTAGTTAATGATCTTTAACTATTGCATAATAATAAAGATTGAAAAATGTAAAATTAGGTTTATAAATGGATTAGTTACTCAAATCAATTACATAAAAATGAGAAAAGGAGTATATCTGTAGGTTTAAAATTAATAGACTGTTAATTATTAGAAATAATCACTTGGGAATAACTATGAAGAATGAAGGGATAGGCTTAACGCTAATTTGATGGCTACGGCGGAGAGACAAGCTATACAACTTTTCTCAATAGAGAGGTTAAGTTTATTTAAATACATTTCTATGGTTATGTCTTTGTATAGGAGGCGAAATCTAGGAATGTATTTTCATAAGACACTAACTCAACTGCTAGATTTCTAAAAGTTAGTGTCAAGTTGACAAACGTCCTATGGTTTCATTATCACACAAATTAAGTCATCTTAAATTAGTAACAGAAATTTGAATAACGAACGCTCCAGTGTATTTTTGCTAGCTAACGTTGGTCTTTTCAACTCGAATGTAAATCAAATAATTAGTTCATGCGATAGTCATCATGTGAAAAGCTAATTTCCATATATATATATATATATATATATATCAACTGAATTTTTGTTTTCTATATTATGTTAACTAGAATTTTTATCAAGTGATCTCTCACTTCATCCTTGTATTCGGTTTTTGATCATAAGCTAATCAGTCATGTTGTGGAGTATACTATCTTCATTTCACCATAATCGGTTTCATTGCAATTTTGTCCAAACTTTATGTCATCAACATCATTTACTTGGGATTAGAGTAATGCCAAGTTGTTCACGCTTAAGAATGAGAAGTTTATCGAATGGATCAAATATCTCTAGTATTGATGAGAAACCGGAAGCTCCAGAAGCAGATTTCGTGCACCGACATATTGGTCCATCTAAGAAAGATATCAATCACATGCTCCAATTTTGTGGTTTTGATGTAAGTGTTTTGGTAATTAATTTGGATACATTTTTCCGCCTTTTATTACAACTAGTGTTATCTCACCATCAGATGTTTTACTTGTACTATGACTTAATGTGTCCTGATTTCTATTTTTCATCAAAACAATTATACTAGGATTCGGTAACGACTAGCCTATTATTTACACAGAATTTAAGGATCCAGTGTGTTTATTACCATAATTGTGTATATTTAGATTTATAGATCTTTTATGACTACGTTTATACAAATTATTCTAATAAGAAACGCCAGTTAATTATGACAATGCAAAAGCTAATTAAGTAACTCCCATTTATCTAAACAATTTGAAGAGAAGTTCATTTAAGCACATGTCATCACATTGCTGAATGGTTCAGGTTATATTTATCTTGTTGACAAGGTGGTGAAAATTTTGACTGTATAATTAATTTAATAAAGAAAACACTCATCACCTTCAGCGTAGTTATTTACAACAACAGGACGCATGACAATTTATACATATTCAAGCTAGATGCACATGAATTAACTGCAATTTAAATGTTTGTGCGTGATGATCCTTCAGATGTTCACTACTGTTGGTCATAGGGCTTATGTATGATGTTTTGCAAAGGATATGCTTATTCGCGGTGACTTTCAGATATTTCAAACGTTTTTGAAATTCAAGTCTATCTATCACATCGTAAATCAAGAAACAGGTATGTTTCACTAAAGAGACGTTTCTCATAAAAAATCTTACAAATTCTAAAGTTCATATCCTTCTACAGTTTGGCAGTCGGGAAGTGACAACCATCCTCATACATCTTACAGCATCCAAAATCATGTTGTCCACAATAATGTAATAAGGTATAGCAAATATTTAAATAGGTCCTCGCATTCACATTGTTTATAAACGATTGTTAATGTTTTCAAAGGTTTATTTTAATGTTTGTTTGTGTTGTGTTAATAAAATTAACAAAAAAAACTAGCCAACATCAAAAATCGAAGGTTTGTTGCTCTGTGTACCTTTCTGCAACCGTTTATTTATGAACAAGTAAGTTAAAATATTGGGTGGCTTTTTTTATTTATTAAAAAAAAACTAGTGGATTAGCGTCAACTAATTAAGAAGTTATTATAAAAATGAGAATGGACTGGTTGTGAATGTGCAAAATAGGTTAAGTTCATAGTTTTGATAGAAATAGAAAGCTATCGATTGAAAATGTTCAAGCATGTTAAATCACTAAATCACCAAACAAACCTTATTTCTGGTCGTGTTAAATTCTCAGGAATTAGAGGAATTAGAATCGATTACAGATTAAAAATAGTTATGAAGCTTTTAATTGTTTCAAACTGTTGATTGCAAATAAACGTAGTAAGAAAGTGTCCGTAAACAAGTATGAACAATTCTAGATAAACAAACTGTCACTCACTGAATGATGTAAATTGTATCCAAATATCTTATTTACAATAATTGATTTTCATTTTACATAAACAAATAACTTCTTACTAAACTATAAGTGAAGCTCAACTAGTACTTTTAGTAAAATGAAACCAGGAATAACAAGCGTTGGAGAATAAGGCTAGTTTATTTGTTTCATGGGTTCTCGTCAGTTGTTTGCAACGTATAAATAATATTAATGATTATTTACAACCAATGTACATACTTTGTTATTATATTAATGAAGTTTAATGGATTAATAACAACTGTTGTGGAAGAACAGTCTGTTAATCTATAATTTTGGGGTTGTTACTACGTAACTTCGGTATCAATTTCCTTGCTCAAGTAACGTAAATCCATGTGTTTGAAGGATTTTTTCACGTTTAGTAGCGTAAATATTCATTCATTTTACCATTTTATGATATTTTATTTATTTATTTATTTGAACACATAAATATTGGTACAGGGGGGCACGAAATATATATACGCCACAAAAAACAAGGATAATTTGAAGAGAAGGAGAAAAAAATATATATGTAAAAATAAAAAGTAATGAACGTGGGGAATTATAAAAAAAAAGAGGGAGAGAACAATGATGGAGAAAACGGAAAGGTACAATCAGAAAAAATCTTTCAGTTAAGGAAGATACAACCACTTTTTATGAAGAAGGTAAAAGAAGGTTACAGCAGAATCGCCATTGGCTTCTATTCTGAGTCATATCTGATAACCTCTCTAGCCACTGCGGTACACCGTCTCTCGGACCCGAGCCAGGGAGTCGTGAAGGACCAACAGAAGCTAGCCCTTTGCAGCTTTCTTTCATACCACGACACCATGTCATATACTGACCACCTCTCCGCTTTTTCCAACCAGTCCCAGAGTCGGCAAATAATGCACGACGTGGAATTCTCTGGGACGACATTCGTAGAACATATCCAAGCCACCGTAGTTGGTGTTTCAAGATACTTACTTACTTACTTACGCCTGTTACTCCTCGTGAAGGAGCATAGGCCGCTCACCAGCATTCTCCATCCAACCCTGTCCTGGGCAATCCTTTCAAGCTATTTCCAGTTCTTATTCATCTTTTTCATATCTGCTTCTATTTCCCGATGTAATGTGTTCTTTGGCCTTCCTCTTTTCCGCTTCCCTTCAGGATTCCAAGTTAGCGTCTGTCTTGTAATGCAGATTGATGATTTCCTCAATGTATGTCCTATCCATTTCCATCGTCTTTTCCTAATTTCCTCTTCAGCTGGGAGCTGGTTGGTTCTCTCCCACAGTAGGCTGTTGCTGATGGTATTCGGCCAATGGATGTTGAGTATTTTACGTAGACAGCTATTGATAAATACTTGTACCTTCTTGATGGTGGTTGTTGTAGTTCTCCAAGTTTCAGCTCCGTACAGTAGAACTGCCTTGACGTTGGTATTGAAGATTCTGACTTTGATATTGGTTGAAAGTTGTTTTGAGTTCCATATGTTCTTCAGTTGAAGGAATGCCGCTCTAGCTTTGCCAATCCTCGCCTTGACGTCTGTATCTGAACCTCCTTGTTTATCGACGATGCTTCCCAGGTATGTGAAGGATTCCACATCTTCCAGAGTTTCGCCATCAAGAGTGATTGAATTGCTGTTCTCCGTGTTGTGTTTGAGGACCTTGGTTGAGGCCTACTGATGCAGAGACTGCTGCTATGCTGGCTGTTTTTATCTGCATTTGTTCGTGTGTATGCGATAGGAGGGCTTGGTCATCTGCAAAGTCTAAATCGCCTAATTAATTCTGAGCTGTCCATTGTTTGCCGTGTTTTACCTCAGATGTCGAGGTCTTCATAATCCAGTCGACCACCACAAGAAACAGGAAGGGAGAGAGTAGACAGCCTTGTCTGACTCCGGTCCTTACTTGGAATGCATCTGTCAGTCGTCCTCCATACACGACCTCGCGCTGTAGTCCATCGTATGAGTTCCGGATAATGTTGACAATCTTCTCAGGAACTCCGTAGTGTCGAAGAAGTTTCCATAACGTCCTCCTATCTACACTGTCAAATGCCTTTTAATAATCAATGAAGTTGATGTACAGTGACGAGTTCCACTCAGTTGATTGTTCGACGATGATCCGTAGTGTCGCAATCTGGTCTGTGCACGACCGGTCCTTACGGAATCCAGCTTGTTGATCTCGAAGTTGAGCGTCTACTGCGTCTTTCATCCTGTTCAGTAACACTCTGTTGGAGAATTTACCTGGTATTGACAGTAGTGTAATGCCTCGGTAGTTTTCACACTTGCTCAGATCTCCTTTCTTTGGAATCTTGATGAGGTGTCCTTCTTTCCAGTCCAACGACAGTTGTTGCTCCTCCCAAATCTTCTTGAATAGAAGATGAGGCATGCTTGTAGTTACTTCGATGTCTGATTTCGACGCTTCAGCTGGTATTCTATAAGAGGCTGCAATCAATCATAGAGAAGTGCCCAAGAAAGGACCTCACCATTCTGATGGGAGATCTAAACGCCAAAGTCGGAATGGACAACACCGGATATGAAGACATCATGGGACTACATGGATTGGGAGAGAGGAACGAAAACGGAGAAAGATTTGCAAATCTGTGTGCATTCAACAAATTGGTCATAGGCGGTACAATATTTCCACACAAACGGGCTTTTAGGATGTTAATAAACTTCTCAGGCACACCCTTCTTCAATAGACAATCCCCGAGAACAGTTCTGTTCAACGAATCGAAGGCAGCCCTGATATCAAGAAACACTACGATTGTTGGCCTTTGATAAGTATGGCGGTGTTCTAACACTTGGCGGAGGGTGAAAATATGATCAATACATCCTCGACCAGAACGAAACCCAGCCTGCTCCTCGCGAGTCAATCCTTCTCGGGTTCTGAACAACCTACGAAGTATGACGGAAGCCAATAGCTTGGACGCAATTTTAAGTAGACTTATCCCCCGATAGTTGTTACAGGAACAACGTGAACCCTTTTTAAAGATAGGGACAACTATCGACTCATTCCATGACGTTGGTACACTCTCTAGTTCCCAGATCTTTGTAAACAACGTCGTCAGTCCTTTAGTCAGAAAGTCACCACCATCTTTAAAAAGAGCCGGAGGTAAGTCGTCTGGGCCCGGTGATTTGTAACGTTTCAAGAGTTGGAGTTCCTTGCGGACTTCCGCCTCATTTGGTGGATCAGTCGTCACCGGCCATGGAGGGCAGGACAGTCTGACCGATGTTGCCGGAGCAGCAGGCCAGTTGAACTGCCCTTCAAAGAATTCTGCCCATCGTCCAAGACGTCGATGGATGTTAGTGATTGGCGTTCCGTCATCCTCGCAGATTGTTTCGCTCACACCAGACTTCTTGCTGCCGGTGGCTCGGATGAGTTGGAAGAGCTTCCGGTAATTACCAGATGCAGCTGCTGCTTCCAACTCACTGGCACGCTCCGACCACCAGGCTTCTCGGTCCTTACGCAAGCTTTGCCCGATTTCATTACGTAACATCCTTCGTCTGTGGTCAAACTCACGGTCACCCGGAGTAGACCGACGGGCTTCAATCAGTTGTAAGGAACCAGAAGAAACCCAGTGCTTGTAAGCGGGACGTTTCGCGAACCCACAACAGACTTGACCCGCCATTTTCATGGCGTCATGCAATTGCAACCAATGCTCATCTATACTTTTCGGTGGAATGGTAGCTAGCCTAGAAGCTAGCTCGGTTCGATATTTACTGGCAACAGAAGTTGCAACCAGCTTGCTAACATCAATCCTGTGGTGGCGGTCACTTCGTTGTCCACTGAAAAGTAAGGTAAGATTGGCGCAGACCAGAGCATGATCAGATTCCAGATAGGTACTCCAAAAGGAGCGGCAGTCTTGTACACAACCGCGCCAGAGGTAGCTGATCGTGATGTGATCAATCTGTATCCAGGCTTGAGATGTAGAAGGGGGACGCCAGGCGGCACATCGGCAATGACTGTGCCGAAAGTTAGTGCTAGCCAGAAACAGGTTGTGGTCTGCGCATAGTTGCAGTAGACGTTCCCTGTTATCTGTCCTGCGACCAACGAGTCCCCATCGGCCACCTAAACGACTCTCTTCTGTGCCTAGACGCCCGACCTGAGCATTCAAGTCTCCAGCTAGTACTACAATATCTGTCGAGCGCACTTTCTGAAGAAGAACAGTTAGCTGATGGTAGAACTCGTCCTTGATTGCATCCGGGCTGCAATCTGTCGGGGCATAGGCGGAGATGACGAAAAGACATCGTTTCTCACGCCGATTTCTTCTCACTTTGATGGAACTTTCTAATCTAACAGCACATAACCGACTGTTAATGAGGATCCAATCGATTAGTGCTGCCTCAGCTCTAGCGCTTAGTGCGACACCAACGCCAGCAAGACCAGACGAAGATGCCACAGGGTCCCCGGATAAACGCACATAAAACAAGCTTTTTGAAGCGACAGATGGAGAGCGAACTTGTAGTACTTCACCAGAGTCTTGAATACGGGTCTCGGATAGACAACACACATCAATATTAGGACTTTCCAAAGACACAGCCAGCCCTATCTGTTGTCCGACCTGCATAAGTGTGCGAACGTTGAAGGCAGCCAGTTTGAATGGTGCACATGGTTTCAGAAAAACTGCTTCAGTACTCATATTCGGTGGTAACATACAATTTTCAACCAGGCAGTGACTCGAGAACGTTTAGATAAAGCTGAATTTTCACCATAGGCGTGCTGCTGTCTAGGTCGAAACGGATACATAAAGTAGGAATAAGAGAGGGTGAATAAATGACGTGGTAAAATAATAATAGTACGAGTCATTTCAATGTTAATCAGAGAGAAGGGAATATTTTCCATAAGCAAGTTGTTCATCATGATTTTAGTGCGTGTGCTGAGATACTGCCCGGGTGCCCAAACCGAAGCAGGTGGTTTTATTAGGGGGCCACACCCCGAGCCTTTGACCTAAAGGTCTAGTCCACAAGGCAGTGGAGCATCATGAGGAGATGCAGTCCCATGGAAGCCGGTGACCAAAAGTTGGCTCATACGCCATTTGTTCCCGCAGGATACTGGAGCCCATGTGCACCATATAATTGGGATCCGGTTATAGCTCCGGACATTCGCTTATCGTCCTCTCATTTTCGTGAACAACACCCCCGCCACGAGAAGGCAGTGAGTAGGACTTCTCTGGCAGAAGCTGTGTACGCGTGGCCGTGTGAGAGTATTTCGAGAGGGAGGGCGAACCCTCCCCACTCTCGGCCATACCAGGGCATTTGTTGTTCTACTAATGTTCATTAATATGGTATGAACTATGTACATCAGTTGTAAATAATTATTACTATTCTTCTAGGTTATTAGCAGCTGACGAGAATCCACGAAATAAATGAATTCATCCTATTCTACTATGCTTGTTGTTCTTGCTTTAGTCAAACTTACCAAAGAGAAAATTGTGTGAAAATGAAATCCATCTCATAACGTTTTGCAAATGGATTACAGCAGCAACTGTGATTACATAAGAACCTCAATAAAACTCTATCTCATTTGAACAGGAAATTGACATTTTGATAAACATATATTAAAAATACAAATAACATTTATGCGGTTGGACAGTCATTATTCGAAATATATTTACTTATTTAATACTATGTTTCGTATCTTCTGTGTTTGCTCAAATGAATTTCGATACGAAATTGTTAGTCCAAACGTAATTCATTAGTATCAATCTTTTACCGTTTACAACTGTCAGCAATAAATATTAATTTTCAGAAAGCAATCTCAGAACTGCATTGAATACTTTGTTTCTTGTGTTACGGTGTGATGTGGAAACCCAAGCTTTTAAAATATATTAAGATTCTAAACCAAAATTAGTTTATTGTAGACAGATAAAGTGACACTAATTTCTGATTACTTCTTCAAGTTATTTGAATTGTTTTAATGCTTAATTTTATAAAAAGTCATGATTATACAGGTATGATATAAACGTAGCATATTTTCATGGCAATTAATGAAGTGACACGTGCAAACGGGAATTCGTCTTAAATTTTAAAAAAATAAACTGATACTTCTTGTAATGGAAAGCTAATTGTTATATCTGGCCGTCGCTGAGTATTATGTTGGAATCACATACTCGAAAACGAGGACCACTGCAATTCCCACGGCGCGAATGTAAGAACACATAGACTGGTACAAATGAAAATTTATTAACCCCATAACACGAAAATACACTCATTTATATATTGATTTGTACATCTATTTTAATTATTAATTAGTACGAATGACATATATGAAAAATACTTAGAGTTATCCTATGCTACATGTCATACTGTGCATAGTTCATGTCAATTGAATACAAGAATATCGTATATTATACAGAATAAAATATCATACGAGAAAACAAATACACGAAATGATCATCACATTGAATTAAAGAAACGGAAGTAATGTTGAACAAAAATCACAATAAGTAAAAGAATGTAATTTTGACTTTTCATCCCGTTATATCAAAACATGTAAGTGTAATAAGTAAACTTATGAAATTTTAGTGTAAAGTCCATGTAATACAAGTTGACATTGATTCCAAGTGAATATTTACCAGACGATAATCGAATATGAGAGAGTTGAATACTTTGAGGTTCACTTACAAGTTTTATGATCACGAAATTTCAATCCGTTTATTGTATGTCGTTTAGATAAGTTTACTTAAAAATAAAACAGAAGTCTAACCAATGTAGCAAAAAAAACATTATGTTAGTGTGCTTTACTTACGTAAATATAGAAGTCATATCGGTGGTTTCATTCCTTGACGTGAATTCTTCACAAATATTTCGATTTCCTACTCCAGTGTTATCAGTATAGATGCATCAATACGACTAGTTATTGTACTCTACATCTGACAGCATATTGAATTTTATTTCTTTTGCTAAACAGTGGTTTTTTTTTGTTTACTGTGCACATTAATTGACCAGATATTTAACCTAATATTTCTATGATATACGATTCCTAATTATCAGTGTTCTTGTTGTGCTTCAATGTACAAATTCATAATGACATATCTACACACAATCCCAAAAAGACAAATATATGAGATCCTTGCGAACTTTTTGTTAGGTGTATTTGTAAAATGAATGTTATGCACCAAACAAACCCAATTTTGTCTAATTTTTTCTAATTTACAATTAAATATATTTTCGTTTCATACATAGCCGTTATTTTTATGGTAAGATGACATTAGTTTGACCATACATAGCATATTCGGTGGTTTTGAGGTCATGATAATAATTAGAAAGTCAACACTTAGAGATCCTAAGTTTACTGAATTCTACACATGAATGAATGAAGCGTCACATTTTTATTGAACTAACGACACAACAGTGTGCATAGTTTTGGCAAATTTCGAACTTGAATTCCTGTTGTTAAATCATGTTGAGTTGATGTAAATAAAATTCAACCGATAGGAGCTTTAGCTCCGCGTTTTGAGTTGTCCTTGTTTACAGTTGTTTTACTATGTCTATTGAGAAGTTCATTAAGCGATGACTTTAATCAGCTAAAATACAAGAGAATTGTTCAAGGTGACCATAGTTTATGATCATTGGTAGCTTATTGCCAATTTTTTATGAATTGTATAGCTGTTTCTAAAATTCATTGACACACAGCGACAAAGCGATTGACATGATACGTTTTTAACTTTATTGTATGTTAGACAAAACTTTAGTTAGAAGCATCTTAAAGAAAAAGTCTCATTAAAAAAACATAACAATTTGTATCAACGCGTTATTTCCATGTAGTCTATTTTCTACATTTTCTCAATTAAATTACTGATCTTACTGACAGTCACAACAAAATTAAGACTTGCGCTTAAAACTGTTTGTTTCAAAAAACCACATCTCTTAGTTTCCTGAAGGAAACAATTTTCGTTTCTCAGTAAATTTTAATATTCCATTTCATCAAACAAATCTACAGTCACGTGCTTTACTAATTTTGATGGGAAAGTGAAATCCAAATATAACGTTGGCCTTCTCAAATGTTTGTGGTATCTGTTTCCCAACTGTGTAAATGTTATAATAAACCCTCCTGCTTTAGATTTATTTAAACTTTATGTACTCCCGCGGTGTTATGAAAGGATTACATCCTGCCGTGATGGTAAATATTAGAAATCTTATATTAAACACTACACTCATTGACAATATTCTCCGCCTTGTCTAAATTTTGAAATAAAAGAGATGATTATTTTCGAATTCAGGAACTAAATAATTCATGGGCAGTATATTGTTGAGCATCAGAACTGATGATAGGCTTTCGTCAATAAAGATAAAGGTTTTGTACTATTGGAAATACGTTTATGGAAAATTATTTTCGAATGATTACAATTTGAATGTATATTAAAGAGAGATTTATGGTAATGTTGCACAATTGATGCTGAGAAATCCTCATTATAACAAGATTTTTATAGTAGTTAAAACTATCATTGTTATACATTAAATATTTATTAAGAATTCCTAAAATCAAGTAATAAACAATAAACCTTACATGTCGCATCTTTCGTTGTTCATAACATTTTAAGACTGTGGGATGAATAGTCACATTATTTACATATAAATGAGTAGTACTTATGTCCAATTACTTATTAGTGGCAAAAATAAAATTGGTAAGTAATTTAGTCTTTATTACATATTCTTTAGTTACAGTCCTTTTACATAGGTAAAATTGCTATGAGTCTCTCGCACACACAGTGTGCTTTTTATCTAATTCACATCTTAGTTTCACAAATTTTCACACTGATAATTACTGATATCCATTGACGAAGTTAAAATATAATTTAATTCCTAAATATTGGGGTTATTTATAATTTTTGCTCCTGTTCACAATTATTTTTTATTTTTATTTAAAAATTATCTTTTTCATTCCCATATCGGGCTGTACCAATTACTGCTTACTTTGTTTGCTTTTCTCTAGAGAATGGAAGATTTTATATACAAAGTAATACCAGATAGTATATTATTACAAAGGGATTTGAAATTAGAAAATGAAACAAGTATGTATGAATTATTTATTTAGGATAAATTAATTATTTTGCTATGTATGAGTAAAACATGTAAATATAAATAGTAAAGTTGGCTGAAATTCTGAGTAGTTATTGATAAGTACTGTGTAAATAAATGTGTTACTGTCTCACTGTTGAGACTTCATTAAGTTTAGTTTGAACTGATCTCCCAGTGATTTTGAGATGAATCCCTGAATTATTAACCCACTCATTTGTCAATTCACTTATCGAACTTAAACAATGTTTAGATAAAATTGGAAATACTGATTTTCGGAGATTTTGTCCACATATTTTGTTGTTAAATAAAAATATTTCACTAAATATATCTGGGGTTGCTTCGATTTGTTTATAGTAATGTTGCTAGTTTTTAGGATAATCACCGGTTGAAGAAGTCAATCCATGAAAGTTGAAGTAGCTTTTAGGTAGTTTGTATTCTGCATGGATTTCAGCCACATTACTATTAAAAATCAGTAATCAGAATACAAACAATTTTTGTCCTAGAATCTTTCACTGGTTGCCTCAATAATATTCATATATCATTACAAAACTCTAGCTCCGTATTAAGTATTGTTTCAATAATCAGATCATATTAATAAAATCCATTTGTATAACAGACGAAATTTAAAAAGAACATAAAACTTATTAATGTATGTATTTTTACTGCTAATTTTAACAATACTTTTAATTAATCCCATCCAAATCACTCATAACTATCGTAATTATTATTTCATAAACTTAAGGTGAAGCAGAACTCATCAGGCGTTTAAAGTTGCTCATGAGCAAGAATGAAGTTTGGCGTTCTTATATTGGGCAAGGATATTATGGTACTATAACACCATCTACTATACAACGTAATATATTTGAAAATCCCGGTTGGTATGTCAATATATTTTCGCTACTTTCTCTACAGTTATTTCAATTGCTATGTTGTTTTAATTTGTTACCTCCTTCCAATATGTTTTACAATAATTTATTACCTAAATATTCTGTTGAAAAATACATAGAGTTTATCTTCAATATCTCGATTACTCATTTGTTTGGCCAACTGGTAATTATACGATTAATAAAATGACATTGCTTAATCCTAACTATCAAGCTTAATGTTCATCTGTGAATTAGGTTACATTTGTGTTGATTGTTCATTGAGTATCAATCGATTTCACGTTTGTCTAATCTTTAATTCTGATTGAATCCTATCTGTTAGTTTTAATGACTTAATATTGTTAGCACTGTTTTAATGTTAGATGGTCGGAGGTAGAAAAACTTGTATTTACTAACTTGTACCTACAACTTCGAGGGAACTGATCAGTGCTGTGTGATTGGGACTTATCTCAACCAGTCTCATAGTCTTGAACCATCTGTTGAAAGTTATTTGTTTATAATGGCAGAGGATCTAGTTAAATGCCAACCATTATCGTAACCCAGCTAATACGTTTCAATTTTTACCACCTAAAGTTCTCTATTCCGTTTTTATTTTTCACTGATTTCTCTCACATCAGGGATTGTACGATTATGTAACATCAAAATAATACTGTCAATTTTCTAACCAATTTACGTGATAATTTTTCACAGAAGTTAGTCTTACTCCATCTCAATTACCGACGAATAGCTAATCCCCACCCCCAAACTGAAAACGTTTTTTTCAAATTTTCACCTCTCAACACACTTTCATTTTTCAGGTACACTTCGTACACACCATACCAACCTGAAATAAGCCAAGGTCGTTTAGAATCACTATTTAATTATCAGACAATGATATCAGACTTAACAGGTTTGGGGAGAGCAAATGCATCTCTGTTGGATGAAGGTACAGCATCTGCAGAAGCAATGTGTCTGGCAGTCAGGTAAGTTCTTGTATTTTATACAAGATATTCCATTTTATTAGGAAGCCAATAAAAAATTTTGTTTTTTCTAAGTGTGAAATGCGATTTAAATTTTAGGTAAATAAGTAAAAACGATCCCAGTTTAAATAGTATCATGTTGTGTGAAGTTCATCAACCAAGTTCGTAGTGTATCCTTAAATAGAAACTCAGGTAATGTAAATCAAAGGATTCGAAATTTTTGCAATAGACAATAAGAATGTAAACCTTATTTCGATGTATCCATTACTTTTAAGAATGACAAAAGTGTATGTTTAGCAGCTACTGTATTTATGTCGCATTCAATCTTTCTTGTGATGATTTTTGTCCCATAGATATACAAACAAAAAAAGGTTTCTCCTCGATAAGAGATGCCATCCACAAACTATGCATGTCGTCGCATCAAGAGCAAAGTAAGTGGAACTTGAAATTAAAAATGTGCGTGGTTTTTTGTCATACATAATTTTTATTCTCAATTTTCGCAAAATATGCTGTTTGGCTTAGTGACAGCACCATTTATAGTGTTTTATCATTTGAGATATTCTTCAGTTAAAACATCTAAACTCTCCAAGACTTATGGCACATATACAAACATCTGAAATTTAGTGTTTTGCAGTGGCAAATTATGTGACGCACGAGGATCTCAATTACAGTAAGCATAATGTAATGTATTTAGTTAATCCATTCTGTTGATAAGTTCTATTCTTTGAAGACGTAATTGGTCAACAAATGTTTAATAAGGAAAACAAGATATTTGAAAATTCCCCATCCATCATTCTGATCAACTTTGACTATTGCTATAAGTTGTATTATGTACAAATTATTTACATTGTGCACGAATATTCGTCAAGATTAGAACGAATAGTTTGACAGAAATCGGGTGCCGAGTATAGAGAAGTCATTATATAATTTTCATATATATATTGTAGTTTGAAGTGAATAGATTTTTCACTGCTAAATTAAGTGAAACAGTGATTGATCTTCGGGTGTGTACCAACTAGCTTGTTATCGCACCAAATAGCAATCATACTGTGAAAACCATCTGCACTAGCCATCAGGTATTCATTTATAGTCCTTCAAATATATAGTCCAGTCTTGTTCCAAACAATTTATAGTTGTCGTATCAGGATCTATGAACAAAATGGATTTAGGCCCCAGGTAAGTAATGATGCATACTAACAAAAGGTTAGTTACAGGCTTCTAACGAAAAATCTATTTTTATCTCCAGGTAAGAATATTTTCTTATGGCCTTTTTTACTTCAAATATAAAAACTTTCAATATTTTATGATCATCGAAACTATCTGATTTCTTCATTGAAAATAAAAACGATTAATTATGCTACGTCAGGTTGTATTTCTTTATATTTTGATTATGAGATACTTAAAGTTACAGTAAATAAAAGATATAGCACCATTGATTACAAATTCAGTTTGTTCTGATTCACTTACAAATAAATTTTCTCTAGTAGTTTATATGATAGAATCACTATTCAACTTCAATATCAGTCAGTCATTCATCTACAGCGTAGGACCACACCTCACTAGCACGACAAGATGAACACCAAATTCACAGACGCAGTTACTTCAATGGCAGTGGTATATGTAGATAAAGGTTACATATAAAGATATGATACAGGGGGAAATAATTAGGTCGTAGAAAGAAAGGTATAAAGTAATTTTAATCTCACTGTTGAAGGGAAGACAAAGAGTGTATACACCTATGCCATTGTGATCTATTCTGAGCCATGTCACTCAGAGTCTCCAACCATTGGTTACGATAGTCGCGCGGACCCCAACCAAGTAGTTTGCATCTACTAACATGACTCAGACCAGAAGTTAGTGGCTTTATGAACTGACGCGACGTTTTGGTTCGGTCGCCACTAACTTTCTTCCATCCGTCTCCAATACTTGTCAGCATTGCGCGCCGTGTTAGTCGGTGGTTGTGCACGCGCAATACGTGGCCCAACTACCTCAGTCGATGAAGGTTCACAACCTCATCAACTGACATACCGTTATTTCCTAATAGCCTGAGTCTAACGTCACCATTACTTACCTGGTGATCCCAACAGATACGAGCAATATTTCTAAGATATCTGTGATTAAATACTAGTAACTTACAATTATCCTCTACTCTTGATGGCCACGTTTCGCAGCCGTAAAGTAGAACAGAACGATCTGCCATGCAGTCTACCCGTCCTTTAATTGGTAGACGGATATCACGCCTTTGTCATAGGTGGTGACGTGAGTTGGCAAGAGCCAAACGAGCTTCTCGAATCCGTGCATTGATTGCGTTAGAAACCAACTGATTAGAGCTGATCATACTTCCAAGATAAATGGCGTTGTTCACTCTTCGATTACTTCATTCCCTATCCTTAGTTCAGGTGTTGAGGCAGGCCAATCCTGAACCAACAACTTGCATGTAGTGGTAGAGAAACACATCCCAAACATCCTGACGTTGTTGCTCATTGCTACCAAAAGTCTCTGCATTTTATCAGCGTTTTCAAACAAACAGAACTGTCATCTGCGTATTCTAAGTCTATAAGTGGACCTCCTGGAACGAAATCAATTCCTCAAAGTTTAGAAGACGAAAGCGCTATTTCCAGCGGTATATCTATGATGAAGTTGAACAAAAATTGAGATAGTGAACAGTCTTGCCAGACAACACTTGAGGTTGCAAAGGCACATGACAGTTCGCCATAAGTTCTGACTCGACTGGTCGTGTTCGAGTAAAGAATCTTCACAAGGTTTATGTACCTCTGAGGTACACGTTTGAATGAGAAGCACTGCCACAGAAGCTTTCGGTCTACAGAATGAAATGCAGCTTTTAAGTCAAGGAAAAATATCATTGTCAGTATAGGGCTGTGGAGATTATTAAGCTATTATTTGAGATCTTTAACCGATTGATGTTAGACCATTATTGGAATCCTGGAAGCACTGGACGGCCGTTCCTTCCTATTGTGTACTCAGCAGTGCGCATCCACGATCACGCTCGCAGAATTTGAACCCAGGGCCTTCAGTCTTGCGCGCGAATGCTTAACCTACTAGTCCATCGCAGTAATTTTCGCACTAATATTGAGATAGGAGTAATAGTATGAATTGAAGAGAGAAAGTGATTATGAATACTGTGGTCTTGATCGCTTTTAGAGGTATGCAGGCGGTTACTGCTCCCTGTTTACTCACATTGTGGAAGGGTTCTCTCAGAGGTACCTGAAAGGGAAATTGGGTTAGAATTGGTCTTGTTGACCTGACAGTGTGACCGCAGTGCTCAAGGGACATCTACTTGAGGCCGGTCGCACACGACCCTCATGTGGGTAATTTTTAACTTCTATTTATCCAATAATCATAGTATACAAGGATGTAAACATCGAACTTTTGTGAAGTTTATCGGTTTTAGTTGAAACCATGCACTCGAATCTACCATATATATATATATATATATATATATATATATATATATATATATATATATATATATATATATACATCAATATGTATATAATATCGCATCCTTTTGTTTATTTGTCTTCTACTTGAGAAACTAACGGCAGAACATTTGAAGTTATATGACACAATGATGACTCACGTCTTAATTAACTTTTATTAGTTAATTTCTGCTAAAATATATGACCTACCAGAATTTTTGAAATATTTAGGTATATAATCATGTATACCATAAGGTAGTTTATATCCTAACTTTCAACATTAATCACTGTATATTATCAAACGTTGGTATTAGATACTTGAAGCTAGGGTGGCTTGTTGTAATTGTATAAGGTCATAATATTGAAGACTAATGCATGATGGCCGATAGAATTCCGTTGTCGATAATGTGCATATTTTAAAGTTTAAATTCACTTGGTATTGTTTACTTGAATCTTCCCATAGATCTTTAGGACTGCGATTGGCATATATGCATACTGTACCTATTGCCTTCATATTGCCTTAATTCACAAGCCATATAAGCAAAGATGGATAGTGAACATCAACTCTGAGATGCAGGTACATCCAGATGACGAGTCCCAAATAGGACGAAACGCGCGTCCTGAGTTCCACTGCTAGTCACTAGCCATTTTTTGCTTATATTTTAAAGTTGTTTAATTTTCCATTTGGTACTTTAGTAGTTTGAACTGTAAGCTTTCAAATCAAGTGTCAGTATCGGGTTGTGGAGATTATTGAATTTCATTGAAATTATGAAGTGATCAACGTCAAACAACCGCTAGGAAACCTGTTTCAGTGGTCTAGAGGTCAGGCTCTAAGGACCTGGGTTCGGCTTCCGACTGGTGGGTCGTAGATGAGCATTGTTAAGAAGCTCCATACCAGGACGAAATAGCCATCAAGTGCTTTCGGGTTTTCAATGGTGGTCTAACTTTGATCAGTTTATAATTTCAATGGAATTTTAACTATATATATATATATATATATATATATATATATATATATATATATATATATATATATATATAATTTTGAACGACGCCATAAATAAGAAAAACCATACGGGGACGGTAGTCAAGATCTTTATTAACTCGTGTATGTAGTTCAATAATGTGTCTGATGACTAGCAAAAGAATACTGTTATAACGCTCGGTATTACTTCGTCTTATGTTATAACGCCTAAACGATTATCTACACTAGATCCCTCCCAGTGTCTATTCTACAGGACTTCAACACAACTCAGATCAAGAACACGTACTTCGTCTGACTAGAACGTAAATATATTTCCAGACCAAAAGCGACACAATCCACAACACTGAACAATCAATAATAAGTGCCTCACAATAATAAGGATAAGGGAATATATAACCTATCTGACACCTGTCAGACTGTCTACATGTCTGACTAAGCAGACAACCAATCATGATCATTCTCACCCACAAATCAAATACTGAAAGCATAAATTTAACTTTTAAAAATTGCACATACTTGCAAATGATAACTTTCCATAGTCTTCTAATCTTAGGTATGAGGAAGTCTGTTATGGCTTTTTCATGTAAATTAATATAAATCGACTTATCAATATTAGAGCTTTTTATTTAGTAAGAATATCCTAATTTCTTGTCTCGTAATTCAGAACCTAATTCTAAGAAAAATGATTACCGAATAACTTTTCACAAGCTTTTGTAGTGCATTGTTTTTTTGTGGTAAATGTTTTTGTCGATAATTGGTGGTTTTAAACGTAGTTTATCCATTCATTCTTTAGGAACCTTAATATTGAACTTGAAGTTGTTTCCATAGACAATGTAGATCACGTAAAAGAAATTATTAGTACTGGACAGTTCTCTGGATATCTACTACAGTATCCAGATACAGAAGGTAATATTTGGGATGAGAAAATACATGCAGTTGCTAAACTAACGAAATTAAATAAGGTTAGATTTAAATCTCATTTACTATTTTAATCATTCAAATAAAAAACATTTTAAGTAAAATTAATGAAGGAAACTAGTGACTATACTTAGGATCTTCAGTGGACTAAGATTACACCATAGAATAGTATTTATACAAAATGACTTCGTAATAGATTTTATACGAAGCGCTTTTGCTCCCACTGGTCATGTAATAATGGTCGAAGGAAAATGTGGCTTTCATTATTTTAATTATCTCTTTGTGATTCTTTGATTGTTTATCGCTTTCAGACACTGGTAACAAATTCGTTCAATCGTATTTTAAACCATTATTTATTTATTTAAGCCTGTTACCCCTCGTGGAAAAGCATATGCCACCCACCAGCACTCTCCATCCAACCATGTCCTGGGCAATCCCTTCCAGTTGCTATTCATCCTTTTCCTATCCGCTTCCATTTCCCGACTTAGTGGGTTCTTAGGTCTTCCTCCTTTCTGCTTCCCTTCAGGATTCCAAGTTAGGACTTACCTCGTGATGCAGTTCGGTGATTTTCGTAATGTATGTCTTATCCACCTCCAACGCCTTTTCTTAATTTCTACTTCAGCTGGAAGCTGGTTTGTCCTCTTCCAGCCAACGGATATTGAGTATCTTGCGTAGACAACTGTTTATAAATACTTGTATTTTTTTTATGATGGCTGTAGTAGTTCTAGATCTGATAAAATTTCTCACTATTTGTTCTATTACTTGATGAAAATTGTAAATAATCTCAGATGCTTCTCATCACAGCAACCGACTTGTTGGCTCTTACACTTATTGAATCACCTGGTAGTCTAGGTGCTGATATAGCTGTTGGATCTTCACAACGTTTCGGAATACCAATGGGTTTTGGAGGACCCCATGCAGCATTTATTTCGTCAAATGAAGCACTTACCAGATTATTACCAGGAAGAATAGTCGGTCTTTCTAAGTAAGTGATTCATAATTAAAAAAGTAACTATCTAAACGTAGTAATTGTTTCTTTACGTTACTTACTTACGCCTGTTACCCGTCTTGGAGGAGCATAGGCCGCCCACCAGGATTCTCCATCGAACTCTGCCCTGGGCATAGAAGTGTGTTATTGCCAGCTTTTTATCAAAATACACCCATAATACCATGAGTGGGACAGAAATGCTTATTATGTTCACTGAATTTATTGCAGTGGATCGACGGCTTACTTTTGATTCCTTAATAGCTATTTCTGTAATTCTATATCCGATTAAGTTGTGTATACAAAGTTAGTTTTAAAATGGAAAAAAATTACCAGAGAGCGAGATGTGATTAAAATAAAACGATTAATTAAATCATTTTGTAACATTTATTTAACGAATCAACCTTGTAAACAATATACTTCTCTGGAACATTTGATGTCTAATAAGATTATAGTTCTATTGTTTTTCCATCAGCTACAGTATATACAAAATAATTTTAAATGTCCTCATTTCAAAAGTTCATGAATACATTTTATCCCATGCAAATGAAGCTTGCAATATTTTCTGAATTATGAAAATTAAATGTTTATTCTGATGAGAAATTGAAGATATTTAAAGGTGGTTTTGTGGAGATTTGTGTATATTCTAAAGCTAATATTTATCATGAGTCGACTTCATTTAGAAAACCTCTAAGAACCAGACAGTATCAGACACTTGTTTCATCTTAGCCTAGGACTCCGTAGCAGTTCACACACGAGACCTCACTTGAATTTCAAAAGAAAACCTTGAATTCTCACTGTCATTATGATGTATTCAGATAACTGAATTGAAATACAGTTATCCACGTTTTCGACATCGGTTATCTGTGATAAAAATGGACCTCACTCAATGTCATCAGTGTGTCACTATTTCGATTTCGACTTGATGGTCATTAGAATTTTGAAAGTTACCATTGTTCATTCAATTGTCATCAAGTAGTAGTGAAAATTACTTTTAAAACTACGCAAATATTATTCACATATCACATTATAACAGTTGATGATATTTTCTTACTCAAAATATCAAGATTAACAAAGTGAGTAAAATCTTAGTTTCATGAGTACATTACTACTAAAATCCTATCTATGTAATAGAAGTTGATGAAAACATTTTAAGATCGGTGTTCTAAACCACATTGTCAAGGTTTAAAATTCCTTAATCTGCTGTCTTCGTGACAGCCTAAAGTGTCGACCAAGGTTCATAGTACAAATCATAATGTGCTGTTATAAATATGGTATTGAAAAGTATAAATTAGAAGAAAAAAGCACTGTTCAATTTTTTTATTTATTCATTAAAGGTTTTTCTTCATATGAACTGCTGTTATAATTGTTTTATTATGATCTATACTAACCTACAAAAGATTATTCCTACCAAATAAGGAACTTTCGAATAATCCTGCACCATCTGTATTCCTAGTGGTTTTGTAGCGTCCGTAAAACAAATTACGCCAACGAAATACTTTTTTTTAAAAAATTCATTAATAAAGCTATTCGATAAATGAGTGGTGTCTAAATATGTGATGATGTATGGTGTAGAGATTCATTTTCCGATATTAAGTAATGTATATAAATTCAAAAAAGACGGTCTGTGTTCAAATATACTCATTTTGTCGAATCGAAATGAAGTTCACAAAAAATCCCTATCAGTCTTACGAGATTAAGTGTACCTTTTTAGGCATCCAGAAATTTCCTTTACGAGTTTGAAACAATTCTAGTGTCATAAATTATGCATCACAATATAAACTTTGATAGGAATATTAAATTATCTTGATGTATCACAGATGTCTGGTGTGCTCCAAAAAAGTTAGGGGGGTTTAAAAAAGCTCCATGTCATGTAGTCAGGGCGTAATAAAATGATGTATTAACTGAAATTCATATCATAGTTTTGATACGGAAATAAAAAATAACGATCATTGACTAAACACCGGATGCCAGTTGAATAAAAAAATTGGTAAATGTGTGATAAACAACTTTCGTATGCTACTAATAAGAAGTTCTTCAAACTAAAATACTGTTTCTGTAGTTCTAAAAGACCTTAGATCTACTTGAACAGATACTATGACTAATGTGCAATGATTCTTTCGTCTTATATGTCAGTTGGAGACATGAATGCAAGTTTATTTCCTTCTGCTAACCATGATTGTATTTCTGAGTGTTATTTTATATGACTCAGTCAATATCAGATAAAGTAATCAGTTTTACATATTTTAATTACAGGGACGCGATGAACCAACCTGCGTATCGACTTGCCTTACAAACGCGGGAACAACATATTCGTAGAGATAAAGCCACAAGTAACATCTGCACAGCTCAAGCATTACTTGCTAATATGGCTGCTTTCTATGCTGTTTATCATGGTCCTGAAGGATTAAAACAAATAGCTTCGCGTATCCACAGAAATACTTTACGTTTAGTGTCAGCTCTAGAAAATGCTGGCTATAAGGTTAGTTAAAATTCTATGAAACCCATAAAAATTACGTTAAAAAGGTTTTAATTACTTTGAGTTATTGTCTTGCTCATGGGGGGACTTGGGAAAATAACTTAAAATTTTATTGTGGATATAGATTAACATTTCAAGACAATTTGTTACATGACTGTACTATACTTCACTTAAGGTTTTCAATACTCATCTCTTTGAAGTGCTTATGAACAGTGGATACTCACCCAAAACAGACTTTAAGACGAAAGTTTATTGATAGTTTCTCAATTCCTTCTGAGCCATACCGAATTCGAATAATGACTTTTCTTATGATCATTCATCATCGAGAGTAGCCGTCAATTTCTAATCATATGATTAACTAGTCTCTTTATTTAGTACAGCTTCACAATGTTTCCTAACATGTTTACATGATGATATGTGAAGATTGTATAGTATGAGCTTAATTTTCGTCACAGGTTGACATCAGCACGAAAACATTGAAGTACTCAATTATGTTCCAAAAGTCTACACTTCAAACACCAGCGACTTCACAAAATTTTCTCTGTAAAGCGAATAAGCTGATATTAGGAGTTTGGACTTTTGGGTTCTCACTCGCTCGATCGAACCGTAATACACTCCCCTCAATAAAATACTGATGGTTCTTAGTCTGATCTCTAGCGACATTATAAATGGTAACTTGTTGGAAGTTCAACTGTTACATGAAACAGTTATCCAGTGCTCACTGGTTTTTAATATTTGCCTATTTGATGTCAATTTATGATGTAAACGAACTTCATCTACTAAATTTGGTAACAGCTTAGCGATCGGAAATAATAAGTATTCTTGCCTTCTAAACTTTTCTGAATGGTCAAAATGCTGTCTGTCTGTACAACTAAACTTTACGTAAAGGGAAACTTTTATCGTTGAATTTTAGTCAAGACTATATTTCTATTAGACAAAATGAATACAAGAAAAACATTTTTATGATATTACGTTAATGTGAATGTACATAAATTATTCAGCAACAACTTATGGGCTCGGAAGCAGAGTCAGAGTTTTCTACATTCTAGAGTATTCAAACATTTGCTATTATAAATTTTTAATGTCATAAAACACTTCAATTCCTATAACTTATTACTAATTAACGGTTTTAGCAGAATAGAGGTTACAACAACGCTTCAATACCATTCGTTTTCCGTGACATGTGACCACCATGATTACTTGTTGTCACAGTGAATGCATCACATTTGGTCCTTAATTTTACTCATACAGACTATAGTTAACAACAAATGGTAAAGATACTTTTGATTGTATTTATCTACAGTGATAAGCGATTATAGATTAACAATAAAGTTTCTTTGTTTCGCCAAAACATTTATAGTTCTTAGTGCATTATAAAATTAAAGCACTTTCCAAACAGATACTTACTTACTTACTTACTTACTTACTTACTTACTTACTTACTTACTTACTTACTTACTTACTTACTTACTTACTTACTTACTTACTTACTTACTTACTTACTTACTTACTTACTTACTTACTTACTTACTTACTTACTTACTTACTTACTTACTTACTTACTTACTTACTTACTTACTTACTTACTTACTTACTTACTTACTTACTTACTTACTTACTTACTTACTTACTTACTTACTTACTTACTTACTTACTTACTTACTTACTTACTTACTTACTTACTTACTTACTTACTTACTTACTTACTTACTTACTTACTTACTTACTTACTTACTTACTTACTTACTTACTTACTTACTTACTTACTTACTTACTTACTTACTTACTTACTTACTTACTTACTTACTTACTTACTTACTTACTTACTTACTTACTTACTTACTTACTTACTTACTTACTTACTTACTTACTTACTTACTTACTTACTTACTTACTTACTTACTTACTTACTTACTTACTTACTTACTTACTTACTTACTTACTTACTTACTTACTTACTTACTTACTTACTTAGGCCTGTTGCTCCTAATGGAGCATAGGCCGCTGACCAGCTCTTGCTTTGCCGATCCATGCCTTCACATCTGCATCAGATCCACCGTGTTCATCGATGATGCTGCCCAAATATGTAAAGGTTTGTACATCTACCAAATCTTCTCCGTCAATTGTGATTGGATTGGTGCATGCTGTGTTGTATCGGCGAATCTTGCTTTTTCCTTTGTGTATATTGAGACCTACTGCTGCTACACTGGTTGTCTTCTCCTGCATTTGTTGTTGCGTGTGCGATAGAAGAGCCAGATCATCTGCGAATTCTAGATGTCCAATATATCCCGTGCTTCCCTTCAGATATTGACGTCTTCATGATCCAGTCGATCACCAGGAGAAAGAGAAAGGGTGAGAGTAAGCAACCTTGCCTGACACCGGTCTTTACTTCGAAGGAGTTTGTCAACTGGCCTCTATGAACGATTTTGCAGTTTAATCCATCATAGGAATTCCGTATGATATTGACTATCTTCTCAGGCACGCCATAGTGTCGAAGAAACTTCCATAGGATTGTTCTGTCCACGCTATCAAATGCTTTTTCGTAGTCAATGAAGTTGATATAGAGTGATGAATTCCATTCAATTGATTGTTCCACAATGATCCGTAGAGTTGCGATTTGGTCTGTGCACGATCTATCCTTACGGAATCCTGCCTGCTGGTCGCGAAGTTGAGCGTCCACGGAGTCCTTCATCCTGTTTAACAATACCCTGTTGAAGACTTTTCCCGGTATTGAAAGAAGAGTGATGCCCCTGTAGTTATCACAGTTGCTGAGATCACTTTTTTTGGTATTTTGACCATAAGTTCTTCTTTCCAGTTTTTTGGTACCTGTTCCTCATCCCAAATCTTTCTGAAGACAATGTGGAGTATCCTTGCAGTTACCGCTACGTCTGCTTTCAGTGCCTCTGCTGGAATGTTACCTGATCCTGCTGCTTTGCTACACTTGGTTCGTCTGATGGCCATGCTGATCTCTTCAATTGTTAGTGGGTCAACATCGATTGGGAGGTCCATGGGTATTGCTTCGATGTTGGGTGGGTTCAGTGGGGCTGGTCGATTCAAGAGTTCTTTGAAGTGTTCTACCCACCTGTTTCGTTGTTCTTCAATGTTGGTGATTACCTTGCCTTCCTTGCTTTTCACTGATCGTTCTGGTTTACGGTGATTTCCAGAGAGTTTCTTTGTTGTGTCATACAGGTATCTCATGTTTCCTTCTCTTGCAGCCTTTTCCGCCGTCACTGTTAATCTTCTACATATTTACGTTTGTCGGTTCTGATGCTCCTCTTCACTTGCTTATTTACTTCTGTGTATTCAGCCTGTGCTTCGACTTTTTCTGCTCTTGTTCGGCTGGTATTGATTGCTGCTTTCTTGTTCCTCCTTTCTTGAATCTTATCTAGTGTATCAACCGTGATCCAATCCTTGTGATGGTGTTTCTTTTGGCCGCCCTCCCTCTCGAAATGCTCTCATATGGCCACACGTATATAGTCTCTGCCAGGGAGGTCCCACTAACTGCCTTCATGTGGCGGGGGGTGTTGTTTACGAAAATCAGAGGGCGAAAAGCGAATCTCTGGCGCTTTAACCGGATCCCAAACAAATGGTGCACATGGGCTCCAGTATTCTGAAATGACTGTATCTCCTTAGGATGTTCCACTGCTTTGTGGATCAGATCTTCAGGTCGAAGGCTCGGGGTGTGGCATCCTAAGAAAACCACCTACTTCGGTTTGGGCACCCGGGCAATATCACAGCCCTCACACAAATCAATTGAAATCTGTGTGGCGTATATGTATTTGGTGCCTCCTTGTACCAATATCTATGTGTTGAAATAAATAAATAAATAAATCTCCATTGAGTAGATCATGAACGGCCTGGAACTTATTGCTGAGGGCTATCTTGAATTTATTGAGTTTGTCAGTAACCCGAAGAAGAGCCGTATTAAACTTTTGTGATGTCCAGGGCCTCTTGAGTTTCAATTTCATCTTGGCGACCAGCGAGTGACGATCGGATGCTATATCAGCTCCTCTCTTGGTTCTCACGTCCTCCATCGTCCTCCTGAACTTTTTGTTGATGCAGATATGGTCGATTTGGTTTTGCGTAGTGTGATCCGGTGAAGTCCAGGTGATTTTGTGGATGCGTTTATGTGGGAATATAGTGCCGCCTATAACTAGTTTATTGAAGGCACATAGGTTTGCATATCTCTCACCATTTTCGTTCCTTTCTCCCAGTCCGTGTCGTCCCGTGATCTCTTCATATCCGGTGTTGTCCATTCCAACCTTGGCATTTAAATCTCCCATCAGAATGGTCAGGACCTTTGTCGGGCACTTCTCGACGATTGACTGCAGCCTATCGTAGAATTGATCTTTAGCGTCTTCATTGTAGTCGTTGGTAGGCGCACAGCATTGGATGACGTTCATTGTAATCCCCGTTTTCTTTGTTTTGAAGGAGGCTTTGATGATCCTTGGTCCGTGAGATTCCCATCCTATAAGTGCATTTTGTGCTTGTTTGAACAGCATCAATGCAACTCCTTGTGTATGTGGAGCGTTTTCTTCTTCATGCCCGGAGTATAACAGCAACTCCCCTGAAGCTAGTCGTTGTTGTCCAACTTGCGTCCATGTGTTTCACTGATCCCAAGCACCTCTAGGTTGTGTCTCCTCATTTCCGCAGCGATTTGGAAAACTCTCCCAGTCTTCCATATTGTGCGAGCATTCCATGTACCTAAATAAATGGTTGCTCTGGTTGTCAGAAGGGGCATCGGCCTCGTGACTTCCGAAGAAACTCGGCTTTCATCATGCGGCGTCATAACTCTTCTAAATGAAGACCTTCTGACTCCCAGGGCAGAGTTTAAATGGTTTGAATAATTTTTCTGGTTAGCGTTTTTTAGTGAGTTAGTTTTCTACGGGATGGGGTCGCTAACCCCATGGCCAACCCTCCTCCTTTATCCGGGCTTGGGACGGGAAGTAGCCCTCGGAGGGACTCCAGGCGGAGTTTTCCAAACAGATAAATACTTAAAAACAAAATAAATTCCTCTGTGTGTACGAAAATCGGATGATCACCTGTTTGGAATGATATATGACTAAAAGGTTTCACCATACCATCACTGGTTACTTACAACTTGGAAATTTAGCTAAAATCTTCAAAATTAAGCAATCAATATGTTAATAAATGTAACAAGGAACTAGTATTAATCTTCATATGCATCCCTATGTAACGGGTGTATTTACATCTATAATTATTCACCTGTTTATTTACTTTACATGTTAACCAATCCTAGATTGCCAATCAAACTGCAGTATTTGATACAATCAAAGTATTACCAATTTCTAAACAAAATTGTCTTCAGTCTATTCAAAGAAAAGCGTTCGAAAAACGAGTGAATCTCTTATACTATCCAGACGGTGGGGCAGTAAGTTGATTTCAGAGTTAACTTTTATACACCTTATTTCCCTTATTTTTTTAAGGCTATAAGCTACGAATTACAGTTGTACGCCTTCAGAATGTCCAAAATATAATAACTGGAAAAATCCTAGGAAATTGTTTGACAGAAGTTCACTAATCGTTTTCACTTTATTATGAATAGAACTGCTTTTTAAATATAGCAAAATTTGTTACAGTAAAAATCTGTCGCTGGACTCTGGCATATTCTTCGTTCAACTGTACGCATATAATACTGTTCACATGAAAGAATTGTCATCATATAGTCCATTGGCATCAGTTGTAGAAAAAAAGTCATTTGATAAATAAGTAAGACGAGAAAAAATGAAGGAAAGGTGAGAAAGTAAATCATAAAGACCAGGTCCTGGTGATCGATTTTGAAATAACTAGGTTGAATATGAAAGTTCAGAAGATGATTACAAGAAGAAAGTTGATAATTCAGTTAGGAAAGTTTGGAGTGATGAAAAAATCTCAAATAGTTTCAAAAACACTACACATCGTTTTAGAAGAAATAATAAGTGGAGCTGGATATCCATAATAAAAATATTATAATATCGTGTCTATATTCGAATTCGTTTTTGTATGATTGCTTTCTAAGTTACATTTTTCAATGTTTAATCCTCTGTTGGATATAAATCATAACTTTCTAACAAAAAATCTTTCAACATTATTCTTCACGAGTTTTGGAAGGATGAACAATTTCAGATGTAAAATTCATTTTCAGCATCCATCTAAATATAACCATGGTTATTCCGTTTTGTAAATCTGTGCTAATTTGTACCTTAGTCACAAAATCTAGGGCCGAGGCCGAGCGACAAATCCATTTGTTCTTTGTCGCGTGCCCAGAATTAACCCTGTAATTTGTTTTTAAATGAAGTTCATAGGGCCTGGGATATATGTAAAATATGGTTCGCGATCTATCTGGTCTAGTCTATTTATCTCCTTTTATTTTTGAGACTTCGTTTTCATCCTCGTATTTGCAAGTCTCAAAACAGGGATGCTTTTCATATGGACAGGATCACCAAACCCATTTCTATCGTGTCTCATAACTAGATCCATCAAAAAAGTGTTTGATCAGCGTGAATTGCGTGCTCATAATTGATGTTTTGTGAAACACCTCAACACAACTCTTGTTTTAAATCTGAGCATCATGTACTGTTGTATATCGATGGTTTCACATGTATTGAATGCTAATTCATTGATTTAATTTCATCACAGTTTCTTATGAAGTTATTTTCTGTCAAAAATTCGAAGCACACTGTAATTCTTTAGATTATTAAGCGAGATAGATGATTTTATTTGTTTGATAGGACACGAGTGATCTAACATGACAAGAAAAATGTCTTTTTATTGATAGAAACGTTCATCAATAATTTATTTCATAAATGATTAGCCTATATACTGTAGTCACTGACTGTCTTTTCAGTAGACCTGATGTTCAATGCCACTGAGATTCATATAAAGTGGAATTACAATGGGTGTTAAATGGGTTTTGGTGGATATGTTAAATTTAAATAAAGTACCATCAATTATATTTTATTATTATTATACAATAAAGAGATTTTAATCAATTGTTATTTAAGCCCACCGTAATTTTAAGTATTTAAAATCTATTTAATTGACCCAATTCTTAATCCCAGACATAATCAATATGTTTAATAAATTTCATTAGATTCCATTTGACTTCCCTTTCTAATTTACCTAATCCATCAGAATCAACATCAGCCATAAATCTGCTTTCGTCACTGAAAATGGATACAATTTTATTTTTGTAATCTGGCTTATTCATAACAACAAAAGCTTATACCTTATCAGGTTTAACCAGAATAATATCAGTATTATTTCGTGGTCTTCTTAATGATTTACAAGTTAATATGCTTCTGTTCTTTAGTCCGAGAATATGAAATCGATATACTATATCTACTAGTTTAGCTTTACTCTAGCTTTTATTGTTTAAGGATGTAGTGGCTATGGTACTCGGCCAATTATAGAAGTTTTCAGATTGGACATTGGCTACGAATTCAAATATTTTTGTTGTAAGGACAAACAAACTAAAATCCAGAGAAAGTGCCTCCTTTCTGTGAGTGAAAATTAAATTAGTGACATATGTCAGGATTATTCGAAAATGATCTGACGTGATAGTTAATATGACAGCAGGATTTTTCAGCTTATATGTGATCGCTTCTGGTTAGACCTGATGAAGTATAAGCTTTTGTTGTTATGAATAAGCCAGATTACAAAAATAAAATTGTATCCATTTTCAGTGACGAAAGCAGATTTATGACTGATGTTGATTCTGATGGCTTATGTAAATTAGAAAGGGAAGTCAAGTGGAATTTAGTAAAATCAGCTAACACGAAATAAATTTTAATTAAGCTCAACAATAGATTACAAAGTTCAACAACTGTTCAAACGACTTTTTGTACTGCATGTTTGTTTCTTCCAGTTCTGGATGATAATCCTTTATTTACTTGGCTCCTACTTCATTTCAAATTGAAAGAGACTTGTTTTCAACTGGGTACATTGTATCGAATCAATTAAAATTGGTTTACTTACTTGATGTTCAGACAACATCATTTATGTCTCATTTAACAAACCAATTAGTCGATTATACAATAACCGATTTATATGTACTAGAAGGATTTATATGCATGATTTTAAACTCGCTCATTTTCGATTTTTTTTCCTCCCAATCGACACAACACCATAAACTAGAGTTTTCTGCGTATTGGTGCTCATCATAAAAAGTGTGGCTTTAAAAACAACAAAGCTTTTGGCTCTTTGTTAACCTAAAATAGTTAAAGGTATGGTCCGAGGCATCAAAACTCACCTGTTCAAAATGCATTTAACTTCATATACAGAACTAGATTGTGTGCATGTTATTTCTTAAGTTTAAATATTCAGTGCTTCGGACTAATTCTAAACATGTAAAGTGTTATCAAACACTAGACTTTTTGTTTGGTTTATTATTAACTATCTCGGTTTCTTTTAATTAAGTGTTTACGAAACGAAATGAAATGTATTCGAGTCGATCACTTTAAATTATACCAAAATTTATTAAATAGTCTCTCTATTATGCAGGTTGGTTTATCAATAGATGAAACTCTAACTGGTGAAGATTTTAATGACCTAATGTACATTTTCGGAGCAACTCGGGTGAAGCCTCAGGTAACCTAATTTACTTAAGATTTTGCAAGACTGGTTTTAGAATTCCGATCCACTATAATCTATAATCAAAAAGTTGTTTTTGGATAATATTCATTCATATTTTAGTCAGAGCTAACTATTTGATTTTAAAATATCTACAAAGTTTCAATTGTTAAGAATCGTAGTTTGTTCATATGGATTTTTCCTGAATTTTAGCTTAGTTTTATTGTGACGAACTACTAACATTTTCCTACATACTGAAGCATTGGCTAGTCAAAACTTAATCTTTGTGTATGCTTACCCTCGAATTTTCGCCTGATGGTTTATTCATAAAGATCTACTTTAAATCCTGAATCTTTGTACCTGTAATTGACATTTATTTCATTGCACAATACGATTATTTAATTTGTTTAAAACACATTTTTCTACTCAAGTTTACCACGAAAAAAAATGATGACAAAAAATAATCTGCCATTAATAACTCATTTAATATTAAAAGGATTCAATAGAATTGTCTTTATTTTTAAGTAATGGTTACTTTTGACCATTGTACATTTAATTGCAAGAAAGATCGAGTTAAAAATGATTGTGTATCATTGTAAGTAACTATATGATAACGTTACTATCCCTTCGAAAAATGATTATTTAGGCAATACTGATTTGACAAAGGTACTTATCAGAAAATCTAGCAAAAGTTATTATAGCGAAGTTATATTAACTGATCAATACCATACATAGTTACAAAGATCATTATAGTTTCCTGATTTTCACCATTCATTTCAGAGAACAACTTGTTTTGAGGTACAATTTTCGCATAATTTATAGCGTATCTGTTTATATCAATCAGACAATTAGCTCCTCAACAAACACGTTTAAATTGGGTAATCAAAGCATTTAGTTATGAAACTATTGCTTTATTCACAAGCCCTTGGTGTGTTTTATATGTAGAATAGATAGTTTCTATTGTCGTTGTTTTAATAAATGTACACATTTAAAGTCTTTAAAATTATACACTTGTGTTCTATTTATTTTTTAGGAACATTCAATTTTCGCTATTAACACATATCCTAATTTGATGCGTAAAAATAGCTATTTAACACATCCTGTATTCAATTCATTTCATTCGGAGACTGAATTATTACGATACATGAAAAAACTAGAGAATAAAGATATTTCTTTAGCACATTCTATGATACCATTAGGCTCTTGCACTATGAAATTAAATGGTACTACTGAACTACTTGTAAGTGAACGGAAATATTCTGTCTGTGATCGTATGAAATTATTATATTTTCTTCATTTTTCGATTTTCGCCAATTTCATTTTGGATAACATTAATTAGTTTAAAACATACCTTTAGCCAAGTCATCTTTAATATGTAAGAGTGAAAATATCTAACACTTATAATACATGGACAATTTATATTTTCCAGCCAGCTACAAAAAACGGTACAATGATGCAGATCGATATAAATAGTCAACCGAACATTATTCAAAAACCTCACAAAACAAACAATCACAAGTTTAACATAACGATCATTTCATATAAAATGTAGAAGTAACTGTTAAATTGCCCTCTAAACTCAATCCATTGGGAGAGAGAAACAGGATAAGTTGTGAAAGAAGATGAATAAGAAAAATGTATAATAAAAAACAGTAGAAGATGGTTATCATAAAACTGGACGAATATATCCAAATAAGAAATAGCTTAATCAAAGTTAGCAGTTAAATTTTAAGTTTCCTATAAGCCATAACGGCCTGTATTTGCTATGTAATGCATTTCGATCTGGAACAATAATCCTGAAATTTTTGAATATTGTTTGTATATCTGAGAAATATGAAATACTCGCGCAAGTTTTGGCAAACGAAAATAACATATTTTAAAATTTACATTGAGAAGCAACACAGAGTACAGATGAAATAACACTTTTAACTATTTTGCGTTCTCCGACTTATTTAAAAATTACCATCTCGTATTGACAGTAGACAAGTAGAAAACAGTAATATCTAGACAAGTCAGAAAATACTATATGAATTACACTGATATAATTTAAAACTGTAATATTTTTTATTTATTTGTAAAGTATTTATTTTTTAAAGTACTAACTGAGCTTCACGCATATTTTTGATCTATTACTCCGGATAAGAATCTGTCTAGTAAGAATATTTAAATACTTATCTAAATATCTGTGTAGACTTGTCGAGATTGTTAAGTTTTTGATTGTGATCATCAATCGATGAATGTTAAGCGTTCGCGCGCTAGACCGAAGGTCCTGGGTTCGAATCTCGCGTGCGGGATCGTGGATACGTACTGCTGAGGAGTCCCATACTAGGACAAAACGGCCGTCCAGTGCTCCCAGGTTTTCAATGGTGGTCTAACATCAATCCATTCATGATCTCAATCAAAAACTTATCTAAATCTTTTCCAGAAAAATACATTCTAATAATTGATTATATTCGATTCATGCAAAGCCTATTTTAACCTTCTGATGTTTTGATGTGACTCAAATAGTGTATTGTATTTAGTAAACATTTTAATATCACCTGTCAATGAATCGAAGTACTGACTTATTCTTGTGAAACCAGTTAACATTTACTATACAAACAGTTAAATGTGTTCTTGATGAACGTAATTTACCTATATCAGTAATTTCATATGGCCGAAACCAAATCTATAATCATAAGAGTATACTTAAACAACTATAAAGCTAATTTGTGTCTGAATATCAACATCCCGGTCTCATAATAGTCGCTTTGTGCTTTTTAACTAAATTGTGTGGTAAAGTGCAACTAAATAAAATTAACGATTTCTATAACTGAAAAATCACTCTGAAGTCTCTCTTTAAACTTGATAAGTATTAGCCTGAAAATCCAAACATATTTTTAAGATTGTAATTTATGAAAATTGTGCAAATCGGAGTAGCTATAGAACTTGGAATACTACATTGTTGGTTAACTAATGAAAAATACAGGTAGAAGCTTCAAATTTGATAGAATTTTTGTGACTCAATTTCGATATGGTAACTATTCGTAATGTTCAGAAAAATCAACTTTCCAAGAAACATACGTAACAGAACATATCGTATGCTAAAGGACGTATATTGATTACTTTATCTATTTACAACTAATAGGCTTGCTCATGGGATAATGTCAACAAATTGCATCCTTTCGTACCGAAAAACCAAGTTACTGGTTATTTGGAATTGATTGCACAACTGGAGAATGATATCAAAGAGATAACTGGCTATGATTATGTTTCTCTTGCACCAAATAGTGGAGCACAGGGTGAGTACGCTGGATTAAAAGCTATCAAAGGATATTTGGATAGAAAAGGTGAACATAAACGTACAGTAAGTGGTTATGGTTCTTTGATTTATTTTGAGCTGAGTTGGCTACAAGTATTATAAACATTTTTCGTAAAGCAGGCTGAACAAACCTTATAATCGGGTTACTTATTGTCCAGTAATTAGTTTGCAAGAGTTGTGTAGCGTGGTGTCGAGTCCCGGTTAACTATGAGCACCACTACAAAGATACGTGTGCCAAATAAACCAGAAGGCGAGGATGGATCGGAACCAATTTTATTTTGTGGGTGATCTCGTGGTATCGAACGAATACCGAGATGGTGCTAAGATGGGTACAAGCGGAATCGGCAGGAGAGAGTACGTGCGTACTGAGTCACAAACCGCGGAAAAGTAATGGAGGATAATGGAAGAGCAACATGGCCGTCACTAGCACAGTTAAACAAACGAGCACAGTAAAACAATCACTGGTACAATTGGTCATAATAATAATTGCTTCATTAAACCAATCGCGTTCTCTTGATAATAGTAGGTCACTACATTTGTATGGAGTTCGATGTAATGACCGTTGTTAACTTTCACCCTGATCGATTTCCAGTAACTCTAGTTGACTCTTGTCAGATGCTAACTAGGTATATATTGAGGCAACCTCACAGAATCGAGATGAACAAAGCATCATTAGACTCTTAGGGGTTTTCCAGCTTAAATAACTAACTGTTTATTTTTGAATCAAGTTCTTTAAAAACCATTTATAGTTAGGGACTTATTTTTCATGTTGTTACGTGACTTATTTCGTTAAACTCCATGCCATGTACAATTTAAAATACTCCATTAAATATATTGAGCTATCTCACTGTTTGATATACTAATTATTTAATTCATTAGATCTTTTATAATTCGTTCATGCTGATTCAAGTATGTACAAATATTTTATCCAGATGTTAATACTATCACTGAGCTAAATGTATTCCGTTTGAACTGAGGAAACTGTGTCTCTGTCTTGAATTAATTCTAGTGGATGTAGTCTTTACTGTTTTATTGGCTGTATTATACCATCAATATGAATTGCAACCGTAACACCGTCCGTCTTTAAAAATAAACTCAATTAAGCAAAGTTTGATCTAAATCCTATTTATTTAATGTTAAGTTTATTTGTCTCGATTGGCAACAATATTATGAAATGTAATGAAATATCCTAGAAACAGAACTCATTGCTTAAGAAATGATCATTTCACATTTGTCCACTTCGATTTTACAGACTACAACCGCCAACTAGTTACTAAATGCGTATTTTTATCTATTTGTTCGATAATTCAAACAAATGATGAATAAGTAAAAAAACATAATATAACCATTTCTTTTCTGTTTGAAATACAGATCTGTTTAATCCCTACCTCAGCACATGGGACGAATCCTGCTAGTGCTCAAATGGCTGGAATGACTGTTAAACACGTGAAAACTACATCGACTGGTAGTCTAGACATGAACCATCTAGAAGAACAAACTTCTCTATATAAAGATCATTTAGCAGCCATTATGATCACCTATCCAAGTACATTTGGTGTATTTGATAGTAATGTTCAAAAAGTGTGTGAAATCATTCACGAAGCTGGTGGACAGGTTTTTATGGATGGTGCCAATTTGAATGCACAGGTATTACCTCTCTATTTTAATAACTCTTAGTGTTCATTTCTGCCAAATAACATATACCTTAATAAGTAGTTTGTAAAAGAATTCTCCAATTTTGCGAGTGATTTTCACCATGGTCTATCTAGGTTTGTAAGTGCGTTATTCTGAGGAGCCGTAAACTAGAATAAAACAGCTGTTCCTGGCTCCTTGATGTCCAATTGTAGCAGATAAATTATTTACTTTAAAATTTTCAGAATCACACAGAAATACAAAGCATCTTACTGTCATATGTCCGAAATCGCTGATTTTCGATTTTGTAGTACATAATATTTTGCTCTTAATTGGATTACTGACAACATGGTGATGTTGCTTAAATTCAGCATTGGTAAGTAAGACATTAAAATCAAGAGGAAACGATAAAAGTGTTACTGTTCCAGCAATACGATATTAAATCATTAAACACCTGAAACGATTCCAGATTTCATTTTAATGAATATTATCAGATCTATTTATATCGACTTCACTTTATCTTCTTCTGTATTTTATTCAATACGCAAATTTTATTCTTCTGAAGAAATTTTTAGTAGGTTTTGAAGTCTTAAGTGTTGTCCGTCTATTTTTAATATAATCGATTGAAGTTAACACTCTGTCCCGATTTTTAATTCCGAAAGGTTATCGTAACTACAAACCTCAGTTTCAGAAATGCTTTCCGATTTCACGTGAATGAAGTGTTCTACATATATTGCTCACAATAAACTTCAATAAACATACAGAGATCTAAATATTTCAATTCACCAAAAAACGGTTTTTAAATATTCTGCAACACATTAACTTAATCGCTGGAGGTATTTTATTGGCAAGATTGTTGTATAGGTTGGTGATGGCAATCTGTTGTAATCTAAAATCATTAAGAGTTTACACATAGTCTAACAATAATCGTTACATTTTGCTTGACGACCTGAAATTTACATGTCTTATATGGCCTTATATCTGACTCCAATTAAATCATATTATGATTGTCATCGAAATATACATCCCGGCTACCCTCGTATATAATCATCGCCTTAAATCGCGTTAGCGAATAACGGAATTAAATAAGTTAAATACGACAATTGATTTTCAGTACGTATATTTCATACAATCATTGGTCTCAACAGACAATCAGGGAAACTCAACCAAGGTAGGGAATCGAAATGAAATAATACACAGTGCAGAAGGCGAGTGAACCAACTCCATTTAACCAAGCATGACTCGATATTTATAGTCAAACAAAAATAGGTTACAGATATGTAATGAGTAGGGTAAGGGAATAACACACACGCTCATATGAAAATAGTCAAGATTAATAAGCGAATGATTCACAAGGTCAAAATGTGACCCAAGAAGAATGAATAAATTGGTTTGTCTAGAAGTCGGCATGACTTAGTACCAGCTTCTATATGTCAATTGATGTTTATTACAATTTTGTCTAACTATACACTTAAATTTTAATTAAAGAATTTCTAAATAAGGGGTATCAGTATTCAAACGTGAGTATTGTACATATATTCATTTCAATAAAAATTGATTGTCATGATATCGGTTCACTGTTTGGTAATCCACTAAAAATCAAGCAAGGCTGTATTTATAACCTAGATCTATAAGTTGGTATTATTATTACTATTATGGACAGAGCGAAATAGTTGTGGAATTCCCTCTTCGTACGTCGATTCATTGAAACATCCCTATAATGACGTCTTAAAAAAACGATTGATATTAATTAGATGATTTTCCATGAGTTAAAAAGTAGATTAGGAATCTGGAGGCAAGAGAATCAGTGAGTAATAATAAGTGTTCTTTAGTAATTTTGAGTTTATTTGCCGTTTCGCGAAATGACTGATATCAAACAAACGTCGAAGACAACGCGCTTGTGTCACCTTTGGCAGAGTGAATTATGCAAACGATTTAAGGAAGATAAGATCGCTTCCTTGTTGCTCACATTTAAATGTGGGAATTGTTTCAGGTAGGTAGTGTCCTAAAAAACTAATGAATATATATATATATATATATATATATATATATATATATATATATAGTAGAGAATAGGAAGATGTTTTTCTTTTATCCTTCAAAATTAACTAGGTTGGTTTATGTCGCCCTGCTGATATTGGTTCAGATGTTTCGCACATAAATTTACACAAAACATTCAGTATTCCACACGGTGGAGGTGGACCTGGTTGTGGCCCTGTTTGTGTCAAGTCGCACTTAGCACCATTTCTTCCCCAGCATTATTTATACGATTATACTTGTGTGAGTCGTTCTGGTCACAAAATGAACACTGAAAATAAATCTTCTGATCATTACGCAATTTGTTCGGCCCCATTCGGTTCTGCAAGCTTATTACCAATATCATGGGCGTATATGAGGTTGTTAGGCCCGAAAGGTAGATGTTCGTATTCAGGTTTCTTTTTTATCTTTTTGTTATAACGTGTGATCCGCCTATTAGAGAGCAGCGTATTATCGATCGAAACAGTGACGCATAAAATACGTGCGAGCAGCCTAGAGTTCTGATTGGCCCTGCTTCCCTGTCTAGCCCAGCCAGTTGAGTCCAGAACACAAGTCTCAGCCTCGGTGATATGAATCATTATATTTCAAACATACTCTGTTTATATACCCAACAAACAGACTACATCGTACCATAAAATAGAAAGTAACATTTGTACAAGATTTAACCTTCAGGAAATGACTCGTTGGAAGAATGTTGACCAATAGGGCAATGACACTATTTCTCATTCAGGAATAGTACTAGATAATTTCTGGGGTATTTTCTGAATACCCCAACACTTTTGTTTTGTATTGGAATTCACTCTGTACAAAAAGGATGAAAGTGATTCCTTTCATATTTGATCAATTAATAATAATAAATTATTAGCTTTAAGGTGAAAAAGGAATTTAAGATTTCAAACGCAAAATTGACCCCAGTAATATTGAAGTATGGGGCTTGCTAAACTATACGTACATTGAAATTAAAGTTTTCGTCACCTGAATAACATTTTTTATTGATTCTTTTCAACCATGTAATAGCGAATGACTTGAATCCAAATGATTTATGTTAGAAAATATACAGTGAACTTATAGGAATTCATTAATACTGTAGACTAAACAATGTGATATTCACAGCACTCCAAGACTTTGTTTAATTATGTAGTTGGAAATTATCTACTACAAATTGCAGGATAGTTAATCACAAAAAAGTTCGGTACACATAAATCGTATGGAAATTAAAAAAAGATATACATTTAGGTAATAATGTTTTCTTGCAACAGTTACAACTTTATATTATTCAGGATTTTCGCGATTTCATAAGTGACTGAATTTTTCTTGGTTATATTATTATAGGCTCTTAAGATTTCAAACTCGGCTTTGAAAGTTGCAATCCGACTGATCACGTGTTGATGGATAGAAATGAATGTTGCCAACTTTTTTGGGAAAGTTTTTATTTGTGATACTGGTCACGGTAGTGTAAGATGAAGGTTGTAAAAAGTGTGAACGTAACAGTTAACATTTTACGAAGTGATATAACTTTCCTTTGAAATACAGTCAAATAAATAACAGCTATTGTTTTTACAGGTTTGAAGAGAGCAAGTCAGACGGCTTTGTTAAACGCTAATTATATGCTCAAGCGTCTCCGAGACTATTATAATATACGCTATGTAAACAGCGCGGGGATGTGTGCACATGAATTTATAATAGATTGTTCACAATTCTCTAAACAGAATATTGACGTGATTGATATTGCAAAACGATTAATGGATTATGGTATGTATCATGAATTAGGCTTTGATTTTTTTCCTTACTTTAACCAGGATTAGAAACTGCTTTCAGATACGGAATTCGAGAAAATAACTAGGTATTTGTTATGATCAAGTCGCTTTATGAATTCAGTGTCAACAATAGTGGCGTTGTAACCTCATTGAGAATAAGTAGCCATGTCTAGCGTTGGGAGCTAGTTTGTTTTACTTTTATGCAGGATTAGGTGTTTTCAGATAAAGCCAATTTTTTCGCAATTTTACAACGGTTTCTTGCACCTAGGTTCCACTTCAAACAATTCCCCACAATAAAAGGTTGAAGTAGATTCAGAATTAGTCGGTAACACGAATAAGCACTTGTACCTGTCATGATATCAGAATTGCATTGAAAGGGATGCGGTAGGTGAATATTATAAGTTTCAGCCTGTCGAGTAGTATATCTTTATTATATTGTAATGACTTGATAATCTAGTAAAAATATTCATAAATCTCCTGGTCAGTAATTGAAAGTTCACTGTTTGTAAAAAGCACTTTTATTAACTACATTTTTCGAGTTTCTACAGAATACTGGAACTTCGACCACTTTTTATTTATATACCGAGTTTCACTAACCCCTAATAATCAGTAATCTGAAATTCCATCCAAATCATCCACTTGAGCTACAAATCTCCACCACCTCAAATTCCATCTTACTATCTATTGACTTATAATCAAGGCCATAATCTTGTAAATAATAAGTATAATTGTCAGGATTAAAAGAAAATATTTGGTGTGCTCGTCTCAAAAACTTCGATATTTAGGACAGATAAATACTGAAGCAGTACCGGTTTACTAACAAGTTGAAGATCTTCCGTTCCATTTTTATTATCTATTTCTAATGAAAAAATCAGTGTATTTGCAAGCAAAGTTAGCTGACCCAATTTTTATTACCTGCAAATTTTATAAATAAGCTCACTGAACATGATTAAGGTTATGGTGATTTGACTGTGCGATTGCGGAAAACATAAGTCATTTGCAACTGATTTCATCTTACTAATGAAATTTTGGCCTACCTAAAGTCCGTATTAAGCTATTCATTACTGTGTACAGCTACTTATATCAATTAACTGTACAAAATTTGTAGATTCTATTTCATTTAGATCCCTAAGCTGTTATATCTCACTGTGATATCTTACCAAGTTTCTAGTAATTTGATTTAATAATCCCATGATGAGTAGTATTATTATGTCTATTATCTTCAATCCACATATATCAGACTTCCTACCTATTATTTCTGTACTTAGTAGAAGTGGGAGGTTAATCGAAAAGTTATGAGAAAATAAAAGTTGAAATTCAAGGCGGTATAACCAATCGTAAAATCTGAATTTTTACGAATTTCTTACTTTTTATGTGCTATAGTTTATTTCACGAATGGTAATTAAGTCAGCATACATTGATATTGATTTAGTATATGAACTTGGATGATTAGGTTGTTGCTTTAAGCGACTCCGCAATTTTTTCTTATTGATCTCTTATTTTCGAGCATAAAGTAGGCAGATCATTGCAATGGTTAGAGAACGAACATAACTTGGGATATTTTTCGTTGTGTAAATGGTTCTCAGTCCTGCTTCGATGTGTATGTAAACAATATTGATACAACAAGCATTGGTTTTCTCAACTGCCGAACAGATTGAATATGACAATATTGTGAAATTCATGATAAACAAGTTATCTTTTTTTTCTCCCATTACTTTTGAAACCAAACAAATGGAGGTTTCCACAGCCCAACTATGTCATGGCCTGTGACATCAAGCCTAATGATTGAACCCACAGAGAGTGAATCTAAAGCTGAGTGCGACCGTCTGTGTGAAGCACTCATTTCGATCAGAGGAGAGATTGACAAGGTGATCAAAGGAGAGTGGGATATCGAATGTAATCCATTAAAAATGGCTCCACATACTATGGAAGTAAGTATTCAAAATATCTATTCGCCTAATTTTAAACTTACTATCGTGACAAACCTTTAAAATCCACCCCAATGCACTAGCTCGTAGCTATCCAGAATCAGTAGCTAAGTGGATAACGCGATGACGTTTGGAGAGAACGGTACCGGGTCCGAGTCTTGAAGTAAATATCGACTGTGGGATGCAGGTAAATCCAGCTGAGTCTCAGACAGGATGAATCGCGCGTCCAGGGTTCCACTGCTACTCACCATCCATCTCTGCCCGAATTATTGTGTTTAGAACTTCTAAAGCTAGTCCCTTGTGTTCACTTTCAGGCGACTTCACATTAGTGGTTGCAGGAAATGATACGTTAGGTAATAGCTACCCTATAACTTCTGGTTGTAAAAATGATATAAACTTATTAGAAACTTTTTAGGACAGGATCAGTCTGTAGTTATCAAGTATTGGCTTGATTCGTTTAGAATGCACAGATTTCGTCTATGGGTTCGCCAGAAATCAAAGGTTGTAAACTGTAGATGACATGGGTCGTTATCAACAAATTCAAAATTCCAAACATTTCCATCCCCTTTTTCGACCCATTTTCTGGTTTTGAGGTTGAGAAATGACGCAACCTATGCAATCTTTTGCTCAATAGTATTCATCAAGATGAGTTGGAGATTAATTCAGGATCCGTTCTAGAATAATATATAATTGTATTTATCAGCATTTCATGTAAATACTTATTCGTACATCGAAAGTTGGCATGGAGATTACAGATAGAAAGATCAAGGTTTTAAGTTATGAAATATGCTCCTGTAAAAATTTATATGAACACCAACTACAAACAAAAGCTTGTGTATGATACAAGTAGCTTATTCTGCTAGGAAGGGCCGAAATTTATAGTATCACTTAATTCTCCTAAAACACTCCTGCAATAAAGGATGAAAATAGTTTAGAAATACATATCGTGTAGCACTTTTTATCCAAGTCCGAGTTCATAGGTCAGTGCCTGGATGCGGTTTTTTCAATAATTCATTCATGCACTATTATCTATTTCAGACAGTAATGGATTCGAAGTGGGACAGGCCATATACACGCCAAGTGGCAGCATTTCCAGCCCCATGGCAAAATATGAAAGATGAATCAGTAAGTAAACGTTCAAAATTGTGGCCGACTGTGAGTCGGCTAGATGATGTACACGGTGATCAACACTTGATATGTACGTGCTCTTCACTTCTGGAAAGTGAAACCAACTCCAAACTCTAATCTGGAATTAGCATTAAACTTTTAGTGAGGAAACTTCAAGATAGTTCGTCATGAAAATATCTATTTTTTAAAACCAATCGAATTTAAATCAGGGATTTATTATTTTTTAATAGTTGGTTTTTTGTGTAGACAAATTTGTAGCTGAAAAATAAAATATTCCTGCTTAAAAATTTGGTTCCTACCACTACAGAACCCTAAAGATGACAACTAAAGCTGAAAGCTCACCGCATAAATCCCTAAGATTTAAGTCTCAAACTTTCCTGATCGACACTAAAACGACTTTTCTACAAACACAGTATACTGTTTGAGCCACAAGTGATCATATGCTCAAATAAATTACTGGTAACGTTCTGTTAATTGAAATAAATAATAAAGAAATTACCGTCGAAAGTAACCTGAAGTCTAACAACATCGATGCGTAGAACTGCTTGATCTAGTGGTTATTATCGTATCCCTTAGTCGATAAACAGGGGTGCTCGAGATGAGTGGTTATTTGGCTTTTCATTCTCGAAGATGTATGCACAACACTCACCTATAATATTACCCCAGATTTATTGCTATCAACAAGGATTCACATAGCCTTCCAGTGAGTTCTCTCTAATGTTTGGTCGAATCTCATATTCGATCCCACCTTGTCTGGTCGTTATATGATCCTGTAAAAGAGCCAACTTCTCAAAAAACTCTTCCAGTTGTTTGTTAAACATCACCCCAGTTGATTTACATCGCTAACCGACTTAGAATCTATAATTCACTACAGCAGTTTACCGAACAATAAAATCCAGCTTAGTGATAAACTGTCCGCTTTTCTGTCCATTGAGCGATGTTCTGTTGTTCCGAAACAAAATAATCCCAGATGTACTGTGTGAATATGTAGACGCTACTAATTTGAGCATTGCATAGGTGAAATTATGGATAGCACCAAGGAACTGAAAATAACTACTGGGTTATGATGTTAACATTGACTTTTACGAGGACTAGTTGCAAGTGGAACAGTCATTGACCGTTGAACTAAGCCATATAAGTAGATGCAGATCGCTGTGTTGGTTCCGCGCAACTACCATAACCAATGGTTGAGCTTTGGGCGACATAGCCAAGGAACGTATACAGCGCTGCAGATACATCCATCTTCCCTTAGTTCCTAAACACCGCATTCTTTTACTTTTCTTATTCATTCTATACCTAGTCTTTTCTATTACTGATGTTATTAATCTTATTATTGCGGGATTTGTTTTAAAATAATTTCGTCTCTGCTAATATGGTGTGGCAATTTGAGCTGACGCACGTGTTACGTTCAATATCCCATATCAAATGACTGACTAGTAAACGACGTATGATTCGATTTTTTGAGGTTTACCAGGGAAACAAATCACTATTTACGTAAGCCAGATTTTTTACTTCTGTAAGTGACTATGTGATAAGTACAAAGCGGTTTAAAACACTCTTGACTTAAAAAAAAATTGTTATTCATTCTTATTAATTCTGGTTCATGTGAATCCGTGAAAAAAGATTAGTTACCCGATTCCAACAGATCCAGAAAGTGCTGCAGTAACTTTTTGCTTGGTAGCAAACGCTTCCTGTATGCGTCTATCGAATTCCCATTAACTTCATGTCACCCAATCATGGCAAGAATATCTTATCAGTTTATGTGCTCAACTCTCAGTAATACCATTTTTTAGAGCTAAAGATACTATCGGTTATCCAAATTGAAAATAAAGTACGGTATGATCCTACCGATGTCAGTTGTTTATGATGACTTCCCAGGGCTAACTTTGTATAACACCGAATAAAGTGGTAAGGACTGAACAAATATATTTTTAACGAACACGAAGCGAGCGAACTCAAGATTTTGAAAGTGTGGTCAGATGTAGTTATTTAAATTTATTTCGATACCATGATGTTGTAGCCCATAGAAACTTAGCAGCAGTCAGAACAATTAGAGAACATCAGTAAGCCTTTTAAAATTCCAAATATTAAGTTTGATAATTATTTATTGTAAACAGTATTTTTTACAGAAAACATGTAAAATGCATAAGAGCAGTGTAAAAAAAATCAAAAAAGAGATACATATAAAAACCAAACGATATCGATCAGGCAGCTATGCCCTGACATTATGTAAGTCCGGTCGATAACTTACAAAAATATAAATGACGTACATGAATGAAGAACGGACAAAAATTGACTTATAATCTTCTCATCACTGAGAAAGTTGGAAAGGAGCTGAAGACCGCATAAAAGCATAACTGCGATTCCAACTCCGCAGAAAGACACAAGGTTCAAAAAAGAACCGGATTATGATTGTAAAACGAAAGCATAGGACCTAGGTTGCAACTGCTCGTCGAAGAATTTGGTAACACTTGGTAAATACAATAACTATCACAAAATGAAATGTAGTGCGAGCAGGAAGTAAATCTAATGAATAAATAGTCATTTAATCAACTTAAATGGTTTTAAGTAGCAATTACAGAATAAGATGAAGCAAATTTCGTAAAAGTTAGATAAGAATAAGAAATGCTCAGATAGATTACTGCAAATCGGAAAGGTGAGCTATCCTCGAAAGACTTGTAAAGCTAAAAATGCAATAAGTTGTAATCAGCTGATGGCGAAATGTTTGCTGCAATCCAATTTAAAATCAACGTACATAAATGAAAATTAACTAGAACACGAAATCGATTTGTATAGTTCGGAGATTGTGGACTGAGAGAATACTAAACTAGGGAAGACTAGGAAGCTAAATCACTGATAAAAGTCTAACTATATGTAACAGCCTGGGTATCAATCATTTGAAAAATCAACTCATATTTTGTCCATATAACAACGCATGTAAAAAGCCGACATCTGGGGAAGCGATTTGATCATTACATAAGTCCTTGAATGTCGAACCTTCACATACCTGAAAATTTACATACCAGGACATATATTCCACTTACCTTATTCATCTGCTTTGGTACATTTACTCTGCAATCGTCAAGGATACTCGTTTCTATCTCTGAAATGGAAGTTGTACTTAAACTCGAAATTGGAGATATTTGCAGTTTTTCTTCATGCTTCTCTATGTGCTGTAGCAAATAAGAACGAGAAGCATAGACTCGAGAGCAGTAACAGCAGGTTAGAAGACTTGGATTGGTGTGTAACAAAACATGGTTTTTCAACAAGTTAGGACGCGTGAACGTACGAGAACAAAATGAGCACTGGTATGGTGAGCACTTGGTGTGAATGATGCTATGGCGTTCTAGTTCACTTTGGTGAGCAAAGTTTTTTTTACAGACTTTGCATGGCAGTAACTCTGAACAAAAATTATATTGATAAAAGCTAACATACTTTTAGGACTAAGCTTACAATGCTGTAATAGGTGTTGTTGCAAACTGATAATAAACAGAAATCCACGATTGCAGGTTTTGCAAACAAAAGGTTTCGGTGTTTCATCCAATTCGACGTAGGCATGATGAGAGTCTAAATGCAATTTAAGGTGGATTTTCTGAGCGAAATTAGCACTGCAAAGCTGGCAGTAGTATGGCATATAATCTACAAACATCAACTAAAGGAAATTACAAAACTTGCTTCGGTGCAATCTTTTATGAACAGCTAATGAATTGGTCGATGAGAAACCCTTTCCACAAACACTACAGGTGGGGCGGTCAAAAATCTCGTGACGCCTGGAGATGTGACGTTGTAAATAAGAGGGCGACGAAAACGTAGCACGACAGTATGGACAGGAATAGCTACCCTTGCATGTAAGTACATGAGAACCTATAGCATCCGATGCGAAGATCTGTTGACAAATTTTGCAAACAGCGGCCAAACGCTCTTTATGTTTTGTAGTTAGATGGACTATAAGTCCAGACTGAGAAGCACAGGAATGAGGACAAACAGGACACTTATGATGTGGCATTATTATACCAGGTTTACTATGTTTTTCAGAAAACACCATGTTGTCAGTATCCATTACTACTTGTGCTGTGGTCATAAATGAAAGACTGGAACCAATTAACAGTCTTTTAAGTAGTATTGCGTGCCTAAAATAAAAAAGATACAATTTAGTGGATGAGTGAAAAACTGGTCTGAAGGAATCAAACTTTATACTTACAACAAGATATCTTCTAAAACATTTCATTTTTAATGAGACAGCAATCGTAATCTTCATCAGAACCAAGTAAAGCAGTTAGAGATGAAACACCGCACTTGTGAACACAGGAACAAACAAAATAATTGCACGATTTAGTGACTTCACTTAACAAACTATGTGAGGTTTTATTTGTTTGGACTGAGTGCAACCAGACAGGCGAACTTCACCTCAACACAATCAACTTAAGTAGATATTTTGTTCGTTATTGATGGTTCATGACAAAACGTATAAAAAATCGTGTGTTAGCTAAAATATTTTATAAGAACTTCAGCGTTCAATAACACGAATAGTAGGTCAGTGGAAATTTTTTATACAGTGCAGGTGCAGTTTCTCATTTAAAATGTTCACTAATGTGACTGATACCAGTTGTTCAGGGAAGGCCTTTGAGCCAATGACTACTCGATCAGAAAAATAGAGCCCCACTCAGAGTTTGTTCAATCGTAGTTTTTGAGGCTTCTTTCTATGGCCTCGGAGATTAGTTCTGGAGGGAGCAAAAGGATAAGACATTAACACCCAAATCAATACTAAACATATGCAATGCCAATATTAGGTTGGCTTGCGTTCTACGATACGATGAGGAGAAAACAGAAGTTTTAATCGCTCATCGTAAAGGATTTGGTAAAGACCCTTCAATAACTTTGTCCTCAAAGCCTAACAAAATCGTGTGTCAGCATTCTTATTAATGTATGGACCAGCTGCTTGGACGTAATGCCATAAGTGGTCTTACAAAGATGGGGTAGAGTATTCGCTAACAACGATGACAACGCCACAGTGGTATTCAAAGACAAAGTCCAGCAATAATAGTTCCAATTCAATGTGTCGGATCTGCGATACATTGCACAAGGGTCACGAAATGATAGTTGACAGCAGACTACTATCAAAATATTCACCCGAAATTTCAGCTCATTGAAATCACTGATTATGAGACAAATATCAGCTCTATTTCAAGAACAAACATGCATTAAGACAAAGTCAACAACAAGAACGTAGTTATTAGCCAGAGCCTAGATTTACCAGGACAAGCTACCTCACACGCAACACGATAACGAGCCTCCGATGGACACTAAGGTGATCCTGAACATACAGCACTATGCCTCCTTGTGATTCATAACTCTATTACTTCTAACAGCTGTGTCTTGGAGAACAGTCTACATGTACGATGAGCCACGTTTCTGCGACAACAATTATATTATCAAGCTTAGTTCAGACGTTTTCTACGACTACGAACGTTTATGTGGTGTTTCGACAATTACTCTTTCTATCCATACAGGCCTCGGGAGCATTCGCTTTTACGACCAGATAACCCAAAACCCTGGATCTTAAAATTTGTTTCACTGTTTTGCTTTTGAGTTTTTAACTCAGTAAATGCATTCTCTCACATGATTCCGTTGGCTACCAATATTCGAATTTTTCACGAGTTATTTGATAGTCTCTTTGCCCGTAACTTCCAAGTAATATCTTCAAGATCCTCATTGGTTGCGTCTTGTCTGCAACTCACTGAGTTTTGTTACTGAAGGGACATGTTCTCCTAAAACCTTTACTGGCAGTATCTTTCTGATGACAGACTCTGCTTACGCTGTCGTGTGAATGAGTTTTAACATTTGTTTACTTTCAACACCCCCAGATTCCAAATAATTAAACCAGGAAAGGATACAACTTCCTTGGAAGTTGTGTTAACGGCTTTCTATCGTGTTGTCATTTTCTTCTTGTTAACTATAGAAAGCATTTCTTAGGCTGCCCTTCTGGTTTTAACTTTTGAACGAATTAATTCATTCATAGCATTTAACTTTTTGATGAGAGCCTTGCGCTCTACATCATATGGTCGCATTCATTTCATCAGTAGTACTTGGAGTAAGCGCACTCCCGATAAAAGGTACTTACCTTGTCCTGAAAGAGAGAATAATTACAGCTACACATAGAGGTTTACGTAGGGGTTGTTTCATCTTTGAGTGCGCCGATGATTAATTTTTCAGCCTGTTGACAATAGTGAAAGCTAAGTTAACGGCGCTGGCGATTACGTGTTGTTTCTTCTTCGTCTGATCTCAGACTTACTAAGTGGGTACCGGCACACGGCGGATTCCCCAGATTGAGACCTAGGTCTTTATTTAGTAGAATTGTCTTAATATGGTAATATTTTATGCATAACGATAGTGAGGCCGATTTTCAGCAACACATACGTGACTAGCACCAAGAAACAATAAACATAGTGAAGGTATGCAGATTAGTCTGGATCCAGTAGAAATGTCTATACAACCCCTGCTTATCTACCCGTTAAGAAAAAGTCAATAGGTTATGTGGATAGGGACAAATAAATCAGAGCATGGAAAACAAGTATAGCAGACTAAAGATCCGGAAGAAAACATTGGAAGACAAGGTCATCAGTGCAAGCAAAAACCACGCAACTGGTTAAACCGAACTGGGTATCTTCACGTGAGATAAGCTGATGTACAAAAGAAATAATGAGATTTTCGAAATCAAACCAACTGATTCAGATAACATGACACAACTAAAACACTACCATTACAAGTATGTCAACAAACAGCACACACGTCCGTGAGAAAGCCTGAAAATATGTGAAAACAGAGTAAAAAGTTTCGAATTACGCCAACATAAAACAATACGAGGAAACATTGACAACTGTCAACATCGATTTGTAAGGAGTAATGCTCAGACGATGTATGCAACTAATGCCCTACATTATACATTAAGAAATCAAAATTCATGGACTAACATCTATTGGAGCAACAACACAACTTATAATCATTTCGGGACGTAGAAAAATAGCCCAACTGACCAGTGGGAATCTAGTGCAACTCGTCCACCATGCTGCGAGCCCTAACAGAGCGGTCGTACAAAAACTGACTAGCGCGCTAAATGTGTACCTCACTAACAATTCGTATATGCATACGGTAGAAAATCGACAATAGTGATCTATTTATTTAGTATAGTAAACAAACGCCGAAACTAGAATTTGTCAAGCTGTAAAAATTTATGATTTACACAGTATTAAACACATTAGAGCTAACTTATGTAGTGATATATATATATATATATATATATATATATATATATATATATCTGCTCATATATAAGCAGAGTAGGGATACTACTATTCTCAAACCGGGAGGAAAGAGGATGGTTAACGGATCGACTCATTTAAACTCTTCCGTATGATTTTCAGGGACTCCTGGAAGAAATCTCATGACGAAAATCAAGATTCTTTTGAACGTACGAGGCCCAACGTCCTTGTTAACGTCAAAGAAGCATTTACTTTTGGCGTTTGGACAATACGGCAGACCAGTAGAGTCACTAAAATAGCGTTTCTGTCAAAAAAGATTAAAATCTTCCTGCCTGAATTTAGCGAGAGAAAACAATTTTGGTGACTTTTATCCAGTACTGCTCACCTAAGAATGATGGCAGTAGGGATGATAAGGACCAACTTCACGTGAGTTTGAGCATCGTGTTAAAGAAACGTATATAGAAACACCTGGCCATCTTATTTTCAGAAACGAGTGCCAAAATATGAATGGACAAAACTGAATATTAACATAGTTTGTTGGCACGGACTGAAAGAAAGTAACGAGAATGTTGAAAACACTTCATACTTGCAAGCCTTCAATAGCTTAGTCAAGCGTGCGATAATTTCACCTCCCAAACGCGTTTGTATAAATAAGGTTTTCAAGAAGTCCATGAATGATGTGAGAACTAACATAGGGGTCGACATAGCTTAAATCCCTGCCTGATGATGTTCAAACTGAAACTGTAGCTAAAGAGACATTGGACGTTTGAGATGACAACACTGCTAGAGGTTTATTGTGCCTTCTCTTGAGATGCTAGTGTAGTGACCTACTTTTTTCAACAGAACGCGATTGGTTCGATGAAGATAATTATTATAACCAATTGTACCAGTGATTGTTTTAACTTGTTCGTTTGTTTAACTGTGCTAATGACAGCCATATTGGCATTCCATTGGACTCCATTACTTCTGTGCGTTTAGTGACTCTAGGCACGTACTTTCTCCTGCCTATCCCACTTGTACTCCTTTGGCACGATCTCGGTATTCTTTCGATACCACGAGATCGCCAACAAATACATCTCCACTACAGCCATCATCTGCCTCCTGATATTAGCCTACGGGGATCTTGTTGGTTAATTGACACGTAGTTTTCTTGTAGTGGTGATCATAATCAAGCGCTACTCGACACTAGCAAGCTCAACGAGTACACAATAAGTTTTAGCAACAAGTCCTGGGTTTTACAAGATCAATTCAGAGATTAAGAAAATACTATGGAGAAAACTGAAAATGGATAGTAATAGCATCAAGGTGGTAGACAATGAGCTTCAAAAAGCGCTAGGATCAACAGGGAGTCAATGTTGACAGTCCGGGAAATATCTGAAAAGTAAATCCAGAAAGTCTTGAGTGAATATCAGCCATATAAGAGCAGAAAAAGGCAAGGAACAGATTAATGCAAAGAAGACAAAGAAAAGGATAGGGACATCAGAGCACAAATAAAGGAAATCTATATGGCGTCCGGAAACATAGGATAGTTGGAAGTACTAGAATTGATGTGTTAACTAAGGTTTCTCATGCTATTCCAATTCGGTGACAGATAGAGCTCCATAAGTGCAACTGAACTCACTTTTTTTGAAATTCAAACAGACTGAAAGTCAGGTGAAAAGGAATCATCAATTATTACAAATACTACAACTTCCATAGCCTAGATGGGAACAGAAATTTCTGCTCTCTATTAGATATCTTTTACGTAGATCCATCATCCCTCAGTCAGGCTGTTTCTCAGATATAAACTCCTTATGTTCTAGAATGTGCTCATTACTATTAGAATTAGAAATTAATATAAACTCGTCTTGTTTCTGGGATTGTGTTTGATTTACATGTCGTTAATATTTTCTTAAGTCATTGTTATCTATGATTTGAATCACTGATTTCACAACATTCATTCTTCACTATAATCCTCGTGAGTGACCAAGGATTATTTCAGCGATAGTCAACTTCTACAGGTTGTCAACATTTCATGTTCGGACGAGGAATGCTTTGTTTCATTAAATTTTATGGGGTCTCATTGTTCAATATTCCACATTATGTTGCGTCACAAATGTATCTACTTTTCTTTCCAGATGACTGGATATTGTAACACAAATGGAATGATTGCAAATTTTCTTTTCCTATCAGAATTTCCAAAATGAGCATTAGAACAAGGGTATCTTGGGTCGGTGAAGAGATGTTTAGATCTTTTATCATTCAAGCAGGCAGTAACGGCATCCGCTGAAAAATCAGATGCATTATCAATCGCTGTCATCATAAAGAACTCTTGACCGTGCTTGGATTGTGAAGTCAGAATCCGATGAAGTTGTGGCGAAAATTTAAGCCATCAAAGAAGAGAATCACTGGCAACAAGTACAACATATCTACAGGAAGGTGGACTACAGCAGTTTGCGGGAATTTTCACCCGGGCGTCAATCGACAATAATCATGGAGTCCACTTTGAAGAATGACTTTTCGACCTTGTTCAACAACAGTAAACTTATATGAAATATGGGTTAACTTTGGCGGATATACTTTCATTCTCCAAAGTGCATCAGTGCCCACGACTGTTGTATCAGCAACAAATACAGAATATACATTAATACAGTAAGTTCGTAAGACACCATCACTTTGAAGAAACTCTAATAGACTTTTTAAACATATTTCTTGTATTGCACCTCATCTATATAGGTTAGAATTCAGGACTGAACAAATGATAATCAGAATAAAAAGTAATATAAGGAAACAAATTAGAGAGCATACATTAGTGGACGAATCTTTTAGGACTTACCAGTGGAGCTAGAGGCTTCATATTTGATTCGAAACCGTTACCTTTAACAAGGTATCCAAGGTATTCGAAACCAGATATAGAATGTGCAAACCTATTTTGATTGGCAGTAATGTTCTTTTCGTAGAGACAATCTAATACAGTAAGAAGTCTGCGAGGATGAGCTACTTAATTAGACCGACGAATTATATGATGCCGTTCGACGAACAATTTAAACCAAATGAGAGGAAGTCTCTACTCGAATGGACAAAAATTCGTGCTAGTTGTTAAAACATCTGCGGGAGTTTGAAGATTAGCATCTTTTAAGTCAACTTTCGAGAACATCTCAGAAACATAAAGTCCATTGAGTAAATCTTCAGATTTAATGTCGTATACACTGGAATCAACAAACAGGCTTTCAGTGTTAATCTTTAGGCACTACATATTTTAGGGTTTTCGTCATTGCACTTCAAGCTCATAGCCATAGAAGTACTCCACTCTGAAGAATGAATCGGCTCAATTATTCTTTTTGAACACAAATTATTCAGTGTCTTATGTACTGTTTCTGGAATATCATGAGGAATTATTTATCTTTTAATGGAGACTGGGTAATTCTGTACTTGAAGTTCTTCCGGCTTAGTTTTTATCCCATTGCTGTACTAGGCACATGTAGCTATCAAATCTTTAAGTAAATCACCAGAATCTTCCCTAGAACCTAATAAAGCCAAGTCTACTCCGAACCATTTTTCAAACTCAATATTTTCGATCCTGTTTTACTAACAGGAAACTCACAAAGCATTTGTGAAAAACTATCAACTTTAAATAACGATTCACAGTATCCTCGTATGGGCAATTTATGTCCAGCAGTTAACAGGTTAGAATGCGTAAAGATAGATCATGTTCCTATCGAATCACGACGCTACGGATCAATGTTGAATAATAATTTGAGTGGAAATCGCCACCATACATCAACATAATTTGACTAAGAGGAAGTATTGGAAAACGTGAATAAGAGAATTTGTGGAATCTTCCTCGATAACTTGGTGTACCTGAGAAGATGACTATTATCTTACGTAACTTCTCCGATTGACCGAATCTCAATGTCATTTATGGAGGACAACTCACATATGCATTACAAGTGAAGAATGAAATCGATAAAACACATAAGTATATTGAAATTTTTTTAAAAAAGAAAAATTATATATAGTACAAAGGAAAATCGAGACGATATAAAATATCATCTAGTATCTTACGTGCAATAATCGTTCAAATGTTCTGGAAATCTTACTGTTCTTCCAGAACGCGTTGTTTTGAGTTTATTTTGTGATACCGCCGTGTCGTGCGATTGTATTGAAGGAAAATCGATGTGAATAGGATTTAATTCTAAATACGCTGCTTTGAGGCGATCGATGCTGATACTATTCTTGGTTCCGCTCTTATCAAATATATAGTACTTGGGTTCGCGTTGAAGCACTTGTAAAGGTCCTTCGTATGCTTATTCGAGGGTGGTCGATGTGAGTCTTGATATACGAAAACGCGTGCACTATATCGTAAGTCAGGTTGAACGAAATCATCAGTTGATTGTGGTCGAGTGGAAACAGGTTTAACTGAACGCATTGCGTTTGTAAGCCTGTTTGTGTAGGCGGTTGGATCCATGTTCATCGAAGAGGATGAAGGATCCACGAATTCTTCAGGAAGTCGAAGGGTCGGACCATAAACGAGTTGAGCTGCAGTGTATACAATGTCAGCTTTCTCTGCATTGCGAATACCTAGCAAGACGAGTGGGAGAGAGTCAGTCCACTGAGAAATGTTTGCGGCTGATAGTGACGCTTTTAGTTGTCAGTGGAAACGTTCTACTAACCCGTTTGCTTGTGGGTGGTAGGCCGTCGTTCGGAAGCGAGTGATTCCTAATTTTGCTGTCAGAAAACCTGAAAGTCCAGATTCTAATTGGCGCCCATCGTTCGACGAAGGCCCGGGCCACTGTTTCAACAGTAATGTATTTGATGGGTACTACTTCTGACCATCGAGTAAAACCGTCTACTCAGGTTAAAAGATAAGA